ATTGTATATTGCAAGGGTTTAAAATTTTAGCCAAAGCTGCGGAGATAACAGCCAATTTTTTCAAAATCTGATTTCTCGATGTAAGATTTTAAAAAAATCATTTCTCAGCCTACACGCGAGATAGCCAGACAAAAATTCGGCATGTTTATACTTCAAAGGATAATGTAGCATACTATATACATTGTTTTATTTTACCTTTAAATATACCCCCTCAGGCTATTATTTTTCTGATGTCCCAAATTTTACGGAAAATGTTTTCGAAACGCCGTTTTTTAATGCCTCAGGCATTGAAACAGAACAAAATTTGAAATGTAGATACCTTAGGGCATACATAACATATGTACATAGTACTTCTTTATTTTTTCTTAATTTACGGCCCAAGAAAAGCTTTCTTTTATTAAAGCCAACATCATCTGAAATTATTTAGATCAAATCATGACAGCATGTATTCAACTTTGCTATACATGAAGTTTAAAACAAGTTTTGCGAGAGACTCGAGTTAGCTGTGCACAAAAAACAAGATGTTACAGTAGAGACTTGAAATACCTACCGTAGTTAGCTAGTTACCAGTGTATTAAAATGGGCAGGTCAAATTTTTAATTTTTGGCTTACTGTAGGTATACTGTAACATTTTCAGATTTTTCGTTTCTCCTCAACTAGTTGCCCGATTGACTCCGGACCTTTTCAGGGTTATAGAATGATTGATTCTAAGCAACTTTCATATTGACACCTTTTTGCTAGGACTTCTGGAAGTGTGCGAAAAATTTGCATATTTAGCAAAAAATTTAAAATTCTTGAATTTTCTTAAAAAATTTGCATAGTTGTACATCCTTTTTATTGCTGTAGATAACACTCTATGATGTGGGGATTCCAACGGTGGCAAAATCATGGCTGGGCGGCCTGTCAAGTCTGAGAACGAGGCCTCTAAACATTTGGTCATCACGAAATTGTTTTGTTTCAAAGTTGGATACGTGAGATATCGGGGCAAAGTTTAGTTCCATTATAATCTACATAAAATTCTAAGACTTTTAAACCCCATTCCCGTGAGTCTCAGACCGACCGGTCGAAAGATACGACCAATTTTCGATATTTTTTATTTTTTTCAATGTTCGCCATAAAGATGACAGAATTGCTGAATTTTTATGGCCATAACTGAATCAGTGCCATCGCTGTACCCTCATACTATATAGTTTTAATCTTGGTCGCTTTGGGTGCTATTCAAAATTTTTTGAAACCTTGGCAAAGTCCTCAATTTTTTGATTTTTTTCACAGACAAGGTCAAAATTCAAAAAAAAGCAATTTATCGTATCGTATGTCAAATTTTAAAAAAATACGGCGCGTGTACCACGCTAACTACCCCACAATTACCTCTCGAACTTTTACAACCTCTGGCATCGAACCTAAATATGTCATGCAAAGGCGACCAAAGCTTTGCCCCATTTCTTTGCACAAAATAGAATTTTCACTTTCATGACGAAATCTTGGTATTTTGATGGCACCATCGAATTCAGAACTTATAATTTGACCTATATGTATATGTACATAAATGGCTATAACAACGTTTCGTATTTTAGACATTCAGATTTTATCGAGATTAGGGAAGTCCCGAATACCGATATTTCCAAAACTTCCTGAAAATTATGGCAAATACTTTTTTACCAACCTAATACAACTTTACCTAAAACTCAAAAAAAACGAAAAGGAAATTTTGTCGATTATATGCGACCCTTCGAATATGACTTCCGAACGGTTTCAGAATACAAAAGACATACAGGTGTACGTCTGAGTGTTTCTGAAAAATTCACGTAACTTTTTTATGAATTTTGACCTTGTCTGTGAAAAAAAAATTCAAAATTTGAGGACTTTGCCAAGGTTTCAAAAAATTTTGAATAGCACCCAAAGCGACCAATATTAAAACTATATATTACGAGAGTACACAGAGGGCACTGATTCAGTTATGACCATAAAAATTCAGCAATTTTGTCATCTTTATGGCGAAAATTGCAAAAAATAAAAAATCTCGAAAATTAGTCGTATCTTTCGACCGGTCGGTCTGAGACTCATGGGAATAGGGTTTAAAAGTCTTAGAATTTTATGTAGATTATAATGGAACCAAACTTTGTCCCGATATCTCACGCATCCAACTTTGAAACAAAAAATTTCGTGATGACCAAATGTTTAGAGGCCTCGTTCTCAGACTTGACAGGCCGCCCAGCCATGATTTTGCCACCGTTGGAATCCCCACATCATAGAGTGTTATCTACAGCAATAAAAAGGATGTACAAGTATGCAAATTTTTTAAGAAAATTCAAGAATTTTAAATTTTTTGCTAAATATGCAAATTTTTCGCACACTTCCAGAAGTCCTAGCAAAAAGGTGTCAATATGAAAGTTGCTTAGAATCAATCATTCTATAACCCTGAAAAGGTCCGGAGTCAATCCGGCAACTAGTCGAGGAGAAACGAAAAATCTAAAAATGTTACAGTATACCTACAGAAAGCCAAAAATTTAAAAGTTGACCTGCCCATTTTAATTCACTGGTAACTAGCTAACTACGGTAGATATTTCAAGTCTCTACTGTAACATCTTGTTTTTTGTGCACAAGGCATATCTGAAAGCTCGAGTCTCTCGCAAAACCTGTTTTAATCTTTCTTATGCAACATGTCACTTCGTGACATCAAGTGCAAAACTTTTACATTCCAAGTTTCCCCGGAATCACAACTTTTTTGTACTTTTCTCCCAAAATTTGCCAGCAATCAAGGGCATTCGGCCTAATCTGACTCCAAAAATCCCTGGAAAAGCCCTCAGGCTTCTCCCAAATGTCTTTCCGACCTTCCTCATCAAGTGGCCGAGGGATAAAGACCGAAATTCGAACGGGTCCGTCTGCGATTATGCGAGGAGTGGGATAAATATTTTTGAGTGCGATTTTCGGGGGTTTTTTTAAATTTCAATATGCAAATGCAATAAGAAAAAGGTTAATAGTTGTCTTTACAAGACAAAACCCTAATCATAAATTGCTTCAATTTTTGGTTAGGATCATTTTTTTCCGCACTGTGCAGCCAATTTTCGAAAAGTTCGCATTTTAGCGAGAAGACTGCATAAAATTTGAAAATTTGGAGTGAATAAGATGTATGGCATCCGCATCAATTGTTTTTTTCATTTTTAAAAATATTCTGTTTTTTCCGCACTGTGCAAATTGGCAGTTTCCTTTTTTTGATTGCACTGTGCAAAAAATTTTTGTTTGCACAGTGCAAAATCAAAGAAATGAAAGATTTAGTTTCGCACAGTGCAATTCATCATTTTGTCGCTTCACTTGCACAGTGCAAAAGAAAAAAATAAAAAATTATTTTCCCGCACTGTGCAGCGTTTTTTTTTTGTCCTTTTGCACAGTGCAAAAATCGAAACTTCCGTTTCGCACAGTGCAATTCATCATTTTGTCGCTTCACTTGCACAGTGCAAAAGAAGAAAATAAAAAATTATTTTCCCGCACTGTGCGGCGTTTATTTTTTTGTTTTGCACAGTGCAAAAATCAAAGCTTCAGTTTCGCACAGTGCAGTCACTTTGTCGCGTCCACTGCACAGTGCAGGAAAAACATTGATAAAATTATTTTCCCGCACTGTGCAGCGTTTATTTTTATTGTTTTTCACAGTGTAAAAATTAAAAATTCAGTTTCGCACAGTGCAATTCATCATTTTGTCGCTTCACTTGCACAGTGCAGGAAAAAATTGATAAAATTATTTTCCCGCACTGTGCAGCGTTTATTTTTATTGTTTTGCACAGTGCGGAAGGATATATTTGTTTGATTTCTGGCCGATTACTCAAACTTTTGTTCTCATCCGTCTTTTTTGCACTTTCGTACTGCTTTGGCCCACTTTTTGGCGTCTGACGAAACCGACTTTTTTCCGGCTTTTTTCAACCGGATCAATCAGAACGCCAACGCATCGGCTCGGCGGGCTTTTATCTGTCACTCAGTGCGAGGCCGTTCGGCCGCTTTGTGGTTGAGCGTGTTTAGCGGCACCAACGTGATCTTCGGAATATCCCCTGAGGGCCGGAAGTCGAATTTTTGGCCAAAAAATTTCGAATTTTTTGAAATTTCAAAAATTTTTTAGAGTTGCAAATTAGTAAAATATCTTCGTATTTTAGGGGAAATAGGTTTTGTTAAGGCGAATTATATACAGAAAATTCATTAATTGCTCCGTTTTATGCAATTTTTTAAATTTTTCACCCATTTTTCACAATTTTTTTCGTTTTTCCTTCATTTTGGCTAAAATACAAACTGTCATAAAATTTTGAACTATTTACAATACAACACGTCACTCACCCTGACCGTATTTTACCCAATTTTTCGAGATTTCTCCAAATTTCCCGGTAATTTTTTTTTCCAAAAATAACTTTTTAATTTATCGAAAACAAGCATTTTACTTCCTTGGCATTCATTATTTTTCGTTTTTTAGTCACACGCATAAATAATGCATTAGTTATAAGAGTTATTTTTCTTGCAAGATTTTTCGGATTAGCCCTATGATTTGATGTCATGTCATCAAAGTGGTGGTCAACATGATGTATCCGCTCTATTTGACAACATAATTCATGCTAATCCAACGGTTTCGTGGGGTCTTAGCGCCTTCAAATGGGATTTTTGAGACTTTTTGGGGGAAAATTGCAAAAAATTTGTTGAAAACAGTTGTTTTATGCAAATTTTTTAATGTAAAATTTTACAGGAATCCTTCTTCTATATTTGGTTGCCTTTTTTACTATGCTATTTACCTTTTCCGTTGCCTAAAATACGATTTTTCACAAAAAATCCCAAAAAATCGAAGAATTTGTCAAAAAATCGTTAATTTATGCAAATTTTAGTCTCCTAAAATATTTTAAACCGCCTCAAATATCTTCTTCAAGCCATTTCTGAAATTTCAATTGCGATTTCCTATCCTAAAATACGATTTTAACCCAAAAAAATTTCAGAAAAATTGAAGAAATTTTGAATTCCCCGCCAAAATCATGACCGCACCTGCGAAGGTGGACGTGGAGAAGGGTCAGGACACCGGCTTCAACAAGCCCGTCACCATCAAATCACCTCACATCATCATCCGGATACTGAATCAACTCAGCGCGCTGATGGGGAGGAAGAACGAACACTTCGAAGTGAACTGCACACAGACCTCGGGAGAGGTGCTGGATGCCTATGGAGTAAGTTAGCAGGCCGCTTCCCACATTTCTGTAAGGTTTGCACTCCATTTTTTTAAAATTTTCTTTTTTTTTATTTTTGGATTTCGCACTGTGCAAAACATTTTTTTAGGTTGCACTGTGCAATACGATAAAGATTTGGCTGCACTGTGCGACCACAAAAAAGTTTAGTGCACCGTGCGAACCAGAACAGTTTATTGCACTTTGATTGCACTGTGCAAAAAATTTGTCTTTAAATTGCACTGTGCGGCTAGAAGAAGTTTGACTGCACAGTGCGATAAAAAACGTTTATTCCACTTTGTGTTGCACTGTGCAAAAGTTTTTAAAATTGCACTGTGCAATACGATAAAAATTTGACTGCACTGTGCGCCCAAAGAAATGGGCTGCACTGTGCAACGAAAAAAATCGACTGCACAGTGCGATAAAAAAAGTTTATTCCACTTTGTTTTGCACTGTGCAAAATTTTTTTAAATTGCACTGTGCGACCAACAAAAAGTTTGACTACACTGTGCGACCATAAAAAATTAAGTGAACTATGCGAACCAAAATAGTTCATTGCACTTTGTCTTGCACAGTGCAAACACAATTTTTTGCCCGCACTGTGCGCTTCAAAATAGCAAAATTTGACTGCACCGTGCAATGAACAGATTTTTGGCAATATCTATGCCACTCTTGCGGATCAGATAATAATTTTTTGTAGGAATTTTCTACTCCACACGTCGAATAGACTCCCAATTTTTCAAATTGAAAATCGCAAAAAAATCTAAATTTTGGCAACTTTTAATTTCACTGCACAGTGCGATCGAGATATTAAGCGAAAAAGTCTTGAAAAATCAATTTTTTCGCCCAAAAAAGAAATTTTGAGTCTTTCTAACTCATTCTTCGTCTACTTTTCTCTAAAAATTTTACTTTCAGAATCCCCGCTATCCCGCCGTTTATCAGCAATCGGCCACTCGGAAACTGGCGTTTGGCGGGCTGCCCGCCAATTCGTTCGCCACAATTCAGGACGAAAAGAAGGCGAAGAACCTGGGAGAGTTCTACAACAACTCCACGTTGACTTTGATCGCCAAAATCTTCTCGGTTTGTGTGATTCTGTGCGCTCTGCTGATGCTGGTCCGAGAGGCGTTTTACAACTCTCAGCCCACCAAAAACATCGTATTACCACGCTCTTAAGTCCCTCTTATACTCACTGAGGGCGTTTAGAGGCTTTCTGAGGGGTCTGGAGGCATTTTTGGAGGTTTTCAGGTTTTCGTGGTGAGACCCAAAAAAAATTTTTTTTTTCGAAAAATAGGTAATAAGATTACAAAAATGGTCTTAAAATACTCGTTAGGAACTTTTAATCAACAAATTTATCAATTTATCTCCATTTTTTGGCTTTTCAAGTTTTCGCGACGAGACCCAAAAATCTTGGCAAAAATCAAAAATTTTGACACTATGTTGAGAAAACGGCCCAAAAATGAAATAGGTATGTAGAAAACTCATAATGCCATATTTTGCGTAATTTCTATAGCCATTTTAGCCCCTGCCAAGTTTTCGTTGTGAGACCCAAAAATCAAAATTCAATTTTTCGAAACCTCAATTTTCAAATCAACCACTGTTTAATCCTAGCTCATTACCACTCCATAAAACTTCAAACAAGCCCGCCCAAAAACATCTTTGAAAGCCCTTTCGCCCTCATCTTATTCATTGTCTTCAACTCAAAATACGGGTCAAATTCGAATGCTAAAATAACAAACTTTCAACCATAATATCCTACGTTGCATCTTCGTTGTGCTATGTCTCGGTAGTTCAGGTCAATTCCAGTCTTCTATTTATTTTTTTCTCCATTTTTTTATCTACTACAATATTTTTTGAATGTACATTTTTGAGGTAATAAATGTATGTAAATTGATGAAACAGTAATTATGACATCCCTACATACTTCATGACTCCAAATTCCCACCGATTTCCCACTTTTCTCATCGAGAGTGAGACTTGACTCATTTTGGGTCAAGTGTTTCTCTTGAGGTATTTTGATCGGAATTTGAAAAGCAATGGCTTATATTGTGGCTAGGTACGTTCATTAGGCGATTAGAACTATCATAAATCATATTCCCTTAAAAAATTGCCTTTTTTACCCAACCATGACAAAAAAAAGACATCCAAAAAACTCAAATTCAAACTCGTTGAGGTACTTTTATGAACCCATATAAGTAGATGAAGTAGATAAAACGTTAGTAAATAAATAGTAAAAAAATTCAAAACATTATCCTACAGTGTTGTTGATTCATACCACGCCACAACTTTTTTGCGGATGTACACAATCCATGCGCCGAGGTGTTCAATCGACGTGATCTGTTGGCCATTGTGGTCGAAGAGGCGGTCATTATTCAGGTCGTCGATCATTCGGTAGAAGTCGCGTTGGTCGAAGGGATTCATGGGGTTGGACATGTTGAGGGGGTACTCGAAAAGACCGAGGATTCCGAGGATCTCCATTGGGACCTGCTGGAGATTCGCGCTGATGGTGTTGGGGAGGAGTCTGTGGAGTGGCCGGCCAGTTCTTGGGACGGCATATTCTGTTTGGTTGGGGAATCTTTGATGATGTTGTACTTGACTACCTGATGGTCCAGCTTGTTGCTGATAGCCACCGGACGCTCCAAACTGAGGCTGGCTACTACTCTGGGCATACGAATGAGCTTGACCAAGTCGGGGGTCGTATCCCGGTATCTGGTTAGCCGATCCCTGATATTGTTGTAGGTAGCCAGTTGATGTTCCAGCGCGCTGTTGATGTCCTCCAGAGGGTGCAAACTCAGTCCGCTGGACTCTTGGATCATTAGAAGGTCCTTGACTAACTCTTACGCCATATCCCTGCACCTGACTGCACGATCCCTGCTGATGTTGTACTTGACCAGATGCTGTCGGGGCTTGATTATGGAAGCTTCCCGAGGGGCCAAAAGGTTGCTGACGCCTTGTTGGGTCATGATATGGCATTTGAAATTCTCTCGGAGCATATCCCACCGCTTGACTGTTCGATCTTTGATGATATTGTACTTGACCAGCTGACATCGGGACTTGGTTTTGGATGCGAATAGGTGACCCAAATTGGTTTTGGCTTCTATTTGGCTCATTCGAAGCTCCTTGGCCCACATTCGGCCCATATCCCGCCATTTGACAGGCCAATCGAGCATTTTGATCTAGCTGGGAAGGTGCAGATGGTCCCGGCTGATTTGGGAAGCGAATAGTTGACGTCGGCTGGATGCTAAAGCTTCCAGGAGCGGTCATCTGGTCTTGTCTAGGAGCGGTGACAACCGGAGGGAAAAACCTGACGATATTTTGAGGATTCGCACCTTGTTGTTGCCCAACAGCTCGATACCACTCCTCAAACGTGCCATATGGCATGTTTTGGCATTGATTCTGCGGAACTTGTCCTAAAATAGGCTGACTTGGTCCTGTAGAAGGTCGATTCCTGTAGTCAAGCCCGGGAATTTGCGGATTTTGAGGTTGATAATGGCTGGCCATTGGTATTTGAGGTTGTCGCAGAGGGGATGATTGAAATTCGGGTGGCCTCCTTGATGCCTCTGGAGATCTTTCAGGTTGCCAATGGGGTGCTAAAAGCAAAAAAAATTATTTTTAAGAAAAAAATGGCGAAAAATAAGCATCCCAGTCATTATGTATATCAAAAAATAACTAAAACCCTGCTGAACACCATAAAAAAACAATTTTGTACCTATTTCTTACTTTACCAACACTTTTTTACATTAAAAATGTCCAAAAATAAATTTTCGCGAAAATCCGGCCTAGCGTGTTCGCATGGTCTAGTGGCTAATGCGGTAGTCTGGGAATCCGGTCCTTCTGGCGGCGGGTTCGGTTCCCGCTTGAACCCAAACTTTTTTCCCATATTTTTTGGGCGAAAAAATGCAATATTACGATGGAAACATATCTACAAAGCCCCGACAAAGCTGTCAAATTCGAACAAACAAGAAAAAATAATCGAAAAACATAAAAAAATTTCGATTTTTTCCAAAATTTTTTAGATTTGGTCTTAAAAAGTTTATATATAGGCCAAAAATAGCCTATTTACAACTCCACACACCTCTCAGCTCCTCTACTAACATCTCAGTAATTTTTTCTGCCCCAAAACCTCAAAATTTTACCTTGGTTTATTTGCTGTCGACGTCCAAGATCGTTCGAATTTCCAGGCGCTGCCCTCCAATCCGAGTCCGAAGCCATTTGAGGATTGATCTGTGGGCCTAGGGCCAAATTCCATTGTGGATTCAGTGGGCCAAAATTTGGGGGGACTGATGGTTCAGGCGATTTTCTCTTTTTTCTTCGTTTCTTTGGGGGTGACTGCGTTGACGGGGATGGGGGTTGAAAAAATGGTTCGGGCGCGTTGGCTATGGTCGGCATGGATTGGCTGGAGGTTAAATTTTGACTCGACTGGCTAGTGGGTCGAGTTTGGCGGGTGGGTTGAGAATTTTGGGTGGTCGGAAAATTTCGGCCAGCTGGTTGGGATTGGCCGGACTGGGCTTCCAGATCCCTCAAAACGCTAGCAATATCTTCAATTAGCTGATTCACAGCCTCATTCTGAATTCCCACATCAACTCTGGCTTCATTTTGGCTAGCCAAATTATCGACCGGTCGATTTTGTTGTTCCGAATTTGAAGTCGCAGGAGCTTCAGAGGGATGGGTTAGGTCTAAAAATGGACAAAAACTACTGTAAAAAAATTTTTTCTTACCAAAATTCGTCGGGTTTTCCTGGTCTACGGGGTTCGGAGGGGCGGTTTCTTGATCTCCTTCGTCAATTTGAAGCTCTTGGCCGGACAAATCTGCGCTAATATCTGGCTGATCACTCTCGACTGGCCTCAGATCCAGGTCTTGCTGCTGCTGAGCTTGTTGCTCTTCTCTTTGACGCTTTTTCGATTTGAACCGGCCTAAAACAATATAAATTTGAAAAATTTTTTGATTTCTCAGCCTTATACGGTAAATTTTTTTTTATCTACACCTAATAGTATATAGGATCTCGATACAAAATTTTAACCCCAAATAATCCCCTTAACATCCCAAAAATTTTATTTTCATCAATTTTTTGCCTAAAGTAATATAAATTTTTCAACCCTCAAATTTCAAAAAAAAAATCGCTAAAACCGCTTACTAATAAAGTCCGGACACGCATCGACTTCCATTTTGATCGTTGATAGCAAAAGAATTTGCCTTTGGACTTCTTCATGATCATCCGGGGGCGCGAGCTGCCGACTCTCCGGAGCTAAATTTTCTTCGCTCTCCGCGGTTTCTTCGTCGCTGACTGGTTCGGGCTTGACCATAATGATTCCTGGAGTGGATTTCTGTTTCGTACTCGGGCAAGAACGTGGATTTTCACCTTGATTTAGGTCACTTAGAGGTTCGGATGTTCTAGTACAAGGTGGATTGACATTTTGATCTTCTATTGGCGGATTTATCGGTTCGTTCTGATCCCCAGGCCTTCTTGTTTCATTCTGAGCGCCAAACTCTTCACTTTGCCCAGGCTGGACCTCCACTTGGCCAGTTGGAGGAGTAGATGGTCTAGTACAATATAACCTGCTGTTCTGATTTTCTCTCTGCTCTCCATTCGGTCTGCTGCCTTCCTGAGGTGCCTGATGCTCTCCTCTAATCATGAGATCAGCTGATTCCGCATTATCTTCTGTCAGATTCTCACTTTGACTTCTTGAAGGTTCAGATGGTCTAGTACAAGATAACCGTTCATTCTGCTCTGTTCCCGGCTCAATTCTTAGTTCATTGTGACTCTCATGTCTTCTAGAAGCTCGAAGATTCTCTACACCTGCATTTTGTCCCTCAGCATTTTCACTTTGGCTTGTTAAAGGTTCAGATGGTCTAGTATAAGATAATCCCTCATTTTGACCGGGGACTTCTTCTTCAGCTGTGCCAGCCCTCACAATTACCTCCGGTTTTTCTTCTTCCGCGTTTCTTAGCAATCTCAGATGTTCTTGGAAAGCTTCTTCTAGATCCCCGCCTTGTCCGGCCGGCTGATCCACTTGGACTGGGATTTGGCTAGCCAAATTTGTTTGACCGGTCGAAAATTCCGTTTTTGGCTGGATTGGGTCTAAAATCAGTCATATTTCAACTCGAATTCCATTTCCCGCCATTTCCAGGCGTTCAAACATAATGCCAATTTTCGTGGTGAGACCCAAAACTTTTCGTGGTGAGACCCAAAATTTTCGTGATGGGACCCAAAGATTACGGTAGAATTTGGGATTTCACTTACCATGCTGATCCGGATTGCCCGGAGCGTTTTCATCGATCGGGTTTTCGACTTCAAAGTCCACTTCGAGTTCATTTTCGTTGTTTCGGGCGGTTTTCTTTTTCGATCGTCCTCGCCGGCCGTCTTTTTCTTTTTTCTTCGTCGTTTTGACCGGGGAATTATTGGGTGACTGTTTGAGGGGTCGATGGTACTGTTCTTGGATGTTTTCGAGCATCTGATCGATTTTCGTGGGACGGGTGGATCTTCGGGAGTGGTTGCTGGAAGAGGAACGATCTTCTTGGCTGGACTGGCTGGAGGTTCGGGCCGAGCGGCTTGAATTGGTCGTTAAACGTGTTGACCTTGTTGGACTGGAGATTTCTTCGATTGAGACTGCTGGAACGACCGCTGAAAGTGTGGCTTTAGTTGAACCGGTCTTTTCTAGGACTGCTTACCTGGATTGGCCCCTGAACTTGTTCCTCTCGCGGGGCTGGTCCCTATTTCGGCTCGTTTGGTCGGAGAGGTCGATTTTTTTCTTGGGCTAGTCGCCAAGTCGTCCATGGGGGCTGGATCGGTCGCCAAGTCGGTTACTTCGTCCTGATCCGTCGGCGGACCACCTCGTTCATCACTTTCGCCATCAGTTTCCTTCCCTTTCTCCCTCGAATTTCCATCTTTCCTCTTTTCCGGACTCGACTCTCTGCTATTCCCTTGACTGGACGTTTCCCAACTCGTCTCATCGTTCTTAGGGATCGTCGATACCGGGTTTCGGCAGCATTTTACTACGAGGGGGCGACGTCGCGGCAAACTCAACTCACTGCTCGAGAAGCTGAGTTGCGATGGGCTGGAACTGTCGCTTTGATAAGGCGAATCTCTGAACACAACAGTCTCCGACATTGTGCTTCTGCTGGTCGTTGCCTGAGGCGATGGTGGGCGATATCGACTTGTGCTTGGTACATCCGGCCCGATCAGCGCGTCCAACTTGTCTTTTTTGTTGTAGGCTTTGGCGGGGGCGCGGGTTCTGAAAATTGGAAATTTTTTTATTTCCGGGGAAAAAAGTTGCTGTAAAGCTAAAAAATGCGATGTAAAAAAACTCGAAAACAATTTTGACAGCACTCTGATATGACTTCTGGCTAAGAAAATTCAAATTCCCAGCCTTTCCGTTGCTTTCGGGATAATTCCAATTTTCGTGGTGGGACCCAAATTCGATGTCATAATTCTTCAAAAGTTGTAAAATTTTACAATATATAAGATAATTGCTTTCTACTAGCCTATATTTTATTTTTGGGCCCTTTCCAGCTCCTAAAACACAATGCCAAACTTTCGTTTCGAGAGCCAGCCAGCCTAATTTATATTCCGGAAAAGCTGATTTTTCGCCAAAATTCATTTGTTCAAGTCTTCTGACATCTCCTAGCCCTCTATTCTATAAATTTGGGGGGTTAAAACGGAATGCCAAAAATTCGTGGCGAGACTCAAATTTTTCGTTTTATTGGCTTTGAAAAGGTGTGAAATCAAAAAGTAAAGGTCCCAAAACACATAACGAAGAAAACAGGGTCATATTCTGCCTTCTCAACTTCACAAAAGCCCTCAATTTTTTGGTAACACTTACTTTTTTCGCTTCGTTTCAAATAGTTCTTGATTTTCGGACGTTTCTTCTTCAGTCTCAGTCTCCTCTCGACGTGCTGGCGGGAGCTCATTAATATCGACTCCTTCATACTGTTGCATAAAATTCTCGTCGAATAGGACGGCTTTTACGTCGGCTCGGTCCACTTCTTCCACGGTTTTCGTGTCTTCCGCGAAAAGCTCGTCGCCTGCGGCAAACGACCAAAGATTTCGGCGGTTGATGAATAATCGCTCCGGGATAACACTCCTCGACAACTCGTCATCAATTGCAGCGTTTTTCAGCAGGTTTGAAATATCTAAAATACGAAAAAAAAGTTTCGAAAAATTTCTCAAATTTCAAAAAAAATCGCTGAAAAAATCAAATCATTACCTTCAACGCGTTCTTGATCGTAGTCTTCGAACGTTTTCATCATTTCCACGGCTTCTTCGTACTGTTTTTTCGCGTTTTCGGCGGCCAAAATCAGCCGATGGACCTTGTCTTTGAGACGTTTGGATTCGAATTCCGCTGTTTGAGGGTTCGATTCGGCTCTGATCTGTCCCATCGTGTCGTCTTTCGTGGCCAAAAAAGTTCGAATTTCGTGGTATATTTGGAGGGTTTCGGAAAGACGGGTTTGGGTAGACGAAATTCTAAAAAAAATCAATTTTTTCCATATAAGAGTGAAGATATAAGAACGCAAGAGCCATTTTCAAAAAGCACCCTAAATTTGCTCACTTTTTGGCTCGCAGGCGATTCTTTCATTTTGCTCACCGAAACGGCGAGCAAAATTTTCAAAACGCTCGCCGCCGCGGAAGCGGCGAGCAATTTTACAATTCCGCTCGCCGCGGCGAGCAATTTTCTAATTTCGCCTGCCGCGGCAGGCTAGGGAAAGACTTGGCTTTGAGCCAAGTCTTTCCCCTTGGGTGGCTCTTCCTCCCAAAATTTTTTTTGTCAAGATTAATATAAATTTCTTTATGGTGTAATCTGCATGCATCGACAGGACAATAACTCCAAAAGTAAGTTAAATAAAGGGTCTTTCTAAATATGCCATGATTTTTTGCATTACATAAGCTTATCCTGGCGCATTTAGCCATTGTTGTAGGTATACAAATTTAGCTGAATGCTGTTCGTTCTTGCAATTCCATGAACGAAATTTGACAGATTCCCCGCAAAAGAACCGGCGTCGGGCCTTCTTCGTGCCAGAATTGTTTCAGCACGAAAGGATTTTTTTGTTGCTTCGATTTTCGATATTACACTTTTTACGTTTTTGATTTTTTCCCGATTTTAGGTATGGAACAATTTTGATGTATCCGCGGCCATAGATGCGTATGAATACTTCGCAAACCATATTTCAAAGGTATCTGGTCGATCTAAAGCATGTTTAGAACAGTATGAGAGGTATTTGAGACTTTTTTTAGATCCACGTACTTGATCACTTAGGCCCTAAAACATCCCAAACCCGGGTTTGAAAGAATATTTATGTTGGGGACGGTTTAGTAATGACTCACCTTTGTAGATTCGGGTTTAAACTTAAAAAAACATTAGATTTTGCCTGCAACTTGATAAAAGTACCTAGTGTAATATCGAAAATCGAAGCAACAAAAAAATCCTTTCATGCTGAAACAATTCTGGCACGAAGAAGGCCCGACGCCGGTTCTTTTGCGGGGAATCTCTCAAATTTCGTTCATGGAATCGCAAGAACGAACAGCATTCAGCTAAATTTGTATACCTACAACAATGGCTAAATGCGCCAGGATAAGCTTATGTAATGCAAAAAATCATGTCATATTTAGAAAGAGGGATAATTTAACTTACTTTTGGAGTTATTGTCCTGTCGATGCATATAGATTACACCATAAAGAAATTTATATTAAAGTACGTGTCTCACCAAGCCAGAGAATGTTTTTTCCTCCAACAGCTAAGTTTTTCGCGGCGGGACGCGCGTCCAATGGGCGTGCCACTAAAAATAAAAATATTTTCTCGAAGAAAATTGATGTTCTATTGTAAAATGATGTTTGAGTGGACTTTTTACAGAGGTAAGTTAGATTTTCCACCTATTGGAGCTTGAAAATGGTATAATAGTTCTTAGTTGTCCTATTTTCCCTTAGTTTACGCAATATTACACGATTTTTCGGACAGATCAAGATTGACTATGGAGAATTTTAGTTTTTTTTGTTGTAATTGCAGGAGTATACGCAAAATCGTCCATCCCGAGACCGGAGTCACCTCCAAGTTCATGAATACCTTCACCGTCGATGTTTTTTGAAGTGATCGGTATGTTGTTTTAGACCATTATTTCATTGTTTATTTAGATTTTTGGGCAAATGTTTGAATTTATTACTGCTAGAGCCTCTCGCATCGCCCAGTTGAAGATTGCCACACCCTCTCCACGCGGAATCTTGATTTCGGTCCGTCTGATCTTGCCCGGAGAAGATAGGACATGAAGAATGTTTCCGAAGAAACCAAGCCATCACCAAGTACACCTCTTCCATGGAAAATGGATTGGCCTCGTGGCTTCACATACTACTGATCCCAAACGGCCCTCTTTAGGGCCACATTTCTTTGATCTTGATGCTTTGAACGTAAATAAAGAGTTCGTCTTTTAGTGGATTATAGAAGTTAGTCTTGGCAAATACGATTCGAAAACATGAAAGAACTCGTCGAGAATCCTTTATCATAAGCTCCAAACCACCTAAATGATCAATTCGAAAAAAACATATTTATTTTTACCTAAAACATTAAAAACAGCGTAAAAAATATCCAGTGTAATATGTGGCCCTAAAGAGGGCCGTTTGGGATCAGTAATGTGAAGCCAGGAGGCCAATCCATTTTCCATGGAAGAGGTGTACTTGGTGATGGCTTGGTTTCTTCGGAAACATTCTTCATGTCCTATCTTCTCCGGGCAAGATCAGACGGACCGAAATCAAGATTCCGCGTGGAGAGGGTGTGGCAATCTTCAACTGGGCGATGCTAGAGGCTCTAGCAGTAATAAATTCAAACATTTGCCCAAAAATCTAAATAAACAATGAAATAATGGTCTAAAACAACATGCCGATCACTTCAAAAAACATCGACGGTGAAGGTATTCATGAACTTGGAGGTGACTCCGGTCTCGGGATGGACGATTTTGCGTATACTCCTGCAATTACAACAAAAAAAACTAAAATTCTCCATAGTCAATCTTGATCTGTCCGAAAAATCGTGTAATATTGCGTAAACTAAGGGAAAATAGGACAACTAAGAACTATTATACCATTTTCAAGCTCCAATAGGTGGAAAATCTAACTTACCTCTGTAAAAAGTCCACTCAAACATCATTTTACAATAGAACATCAATTTTCTTCGAGAAAATATTTTTATTTTTAGTGGCACGCCCATTGGACGCGCGTCCCGCCGCGAAAAACTTAGCTGTTGGAGGAAAAAACATTCTCTGGCTTGGTGAGACACGTACTTTAATCTTGACAAAAAAAATTTTGGGAGGAAGAGCCACCCAAGGGGAAAGACTTGGCTCAAAGCCAAGTCTTTCCCTAGCCTGCCGCGGCAGGCGAAATTAGAAAATTGCTCGCCGCGGCGAGCGGAATTGTAAAATTGCTCGCCGCGAAAGATTTGCTCGCCGTTTCGGTGAGCAAAATGAAAGAATCGCCTGCGAGCCAAAAAGTGAGCAAATTTAGGGTGCTTTTTGAAAATGGCTCTTGCGTTCTTATATCTTCACTCTTATATTATCATATCGAATACGGCGATTTTTATTTTACGGATGATAGATGAGAAGTCAACGCTACTCGAAACGGCAATTTCAAAAATTTATTTTTGATCTTACCTTACTTTAGACATCAATTACAATATTTATGAAAAATGCGTATATCTCAAGCCCTAAGGGCGTAATTTAAAAATCGTTTTAAAAACTTTTAAAGGCACTCATTACTAACATTTTCACCAAGATCCATAAAAATCCAACCATTACTTTTAAAGATATCAACTATTTCCCCACCAGCCGGAAAAACACAAATCTATCGTATAAAATGTCACCATAATTTACGCCAAATTTTATAAATCAATCTACAAGCCATTTCACGCCCTGCCAACTCATTTTGCCCTCTTATTCCCTTCAAAACCCAATAAATTTCGACATATTACACTTCGCCTCTACTACAATATAAAAAAATCGCCCAAAACCCACTTACAACTTAAAATACGCTTTGTTTTGGTCTTCAGTCGGAGTCGCAGTGCCATTATATTGCTCTACAGACCAAGTGGCGTCAAAATGTCCATCCAATTTGTTATCAATCACGTATTTTCGGAATATTGTCATAGCCACCAGAACTTCCGTCGGGAAAATTTTGCTGTCACACTAAATAAGGAAAAAATTCGACACATCGTATTTTAAACCGCCTACCATTAATTCTTCGATAGTTTTTGGGTCATCCGGTCTTCCTAAACTCGCGATTTTTCGGATGATGACTCGAGCGCGGACGGGTGAGAATTGAGTGTATCGGACTAGGTCCAAGTATGTGATTCTGTTCTCAAGTCGTTTAGCGTCCTCCTTAAAGTCATCTGAAATTTGAAATTTTAGCGCTTTGATAAGCACTCTAGCAAAAAAAATTACGAGGGAAAGACTTGACCCAATTTTTTTAACAACGTAAGAGCTGTCGTATTTGGCGAAATGACAAAAATTAATGAGCAACAAGCTTTACAGTACACCTCAAAAACCTTTCGTGATATTTCCGAGCTGGAATTGAGAGCAAAACTTGACCCATTAAAATTTTTGAGACAAGCCTTTCTTCGTGACGCAAAGTGATGAAACTTTTGTAAAATAGTTCAAAATAGCAATTGGAATTATTTTCCGGTTATAATCAACCATTTTGAAACCATTGGGTAACCATTTGAAATCCAAATTTTCCATTTTCCCAGTCTTGGGTCAACTCTTGCCCTCCGCCAAAATACCCCAAAAAAAAGAGCAAAAACACAGTAATCTCACCTGGAATTTGTCCATTGAGAAAATTACACAGCGTCACAACCATGTCATAATATTTGACGTTCAAATCGCGATATACTCCGTCTTCCTTTTGGATGAATTTCTGAAGAATTCGTATCGGATTTCTCCGGCTTTTTGGCTGTCCGGCAACGAAGCTGTGGTCCAGACTGGTGGGGAAATAATTGCCGAACAGCAGGTTGCTCAAGATCCCGTACTCCTTGTTGATCTGGAGGCAGATCCGCTTCTTTTCCGACCTGGTGAGGGAGTCGGTGAAGGTCCGGAAGGCGGAGCACCGTTTCCCCGCGACGCCCGCCATCGTCGCAAGGGAAGTGGGGCTGAAATTGAAACGGCTTAGTCGCAGAGTACTTGGCAATCAAAATCGGGCAGAAAATTTGGTAGGTTGCAAATTTGTAAGCAAAAAAACTAGGAAAAAAGGGGGAAAACTTGGAAAAAATAGAAAAACAATTCAAATTTCGGGGAGCAACGATGTTTAGACGGCACGGAATAGTAAGCAAATTACTGACAGACTAGTTCGAGGGTGAATTCGGACAAAAAATTGTATAAAATATGAATTCATCAGCGAGAAATCGGGGGAAATCGAAGGAACTCGGGGAAAACGGGAGCGAATGGGGAAAAAGACAATTGGGGAAATTGAAAAGTGTTATTTCGCTTCCATGTAAGTGTCGAAATTAGGATAACCGATGGCGCTGATTTCGAAAATGACATTCATTTTTTTTAATCGTTACTTTTTTCCTTAGGTAGTACTGTAAAGCAGTAATTTTTTGAATTTTTTTCACGAACACTCGATTTAGGGGTTTTCGATGGAGCTGATCTCAAATCAGAAAAAAAAATAAATAAGATTTTCGAAATCAGCGCCATCGAAAACCCCCAAATCGAGTATTTATGAAAAAAAATCAAAAAATTACTACTTTACAGTACTACTTAAGGAAAAAAGTAACGATCAAAAAAATGAATGTCATTTTCGAAATCAGCGCCATCGGCTATCCTAATTTCAACACTTGCATCGAAGCAAAATAATACTTTTCAGTTTAGCCAATTGTCTTTTTCCCCATTCGCTCCCGTTCTCTCCGGGTTCCTTCGATTTCCCCCGATTTCTCGCTGACGAACTCGTATTTTATATAATTTTTTGTCCGAATTCTCCCTCTAACTAGTCTGTCATTAATTTGCAATTTGCATGTCTTTTTCCCCAATCCTCCGCGACGGGGAAAAATCAAAAAAATATGCCAATTTCTCGATGGAAACCAAAGAAAACACTTATAAAAATTTTTTTCACTGACACCATTGTCCTTCGCTTTTTTTTGGAACTAAACTTTTTACAACAAAAATATTTTGTCATCAAAAAAAATCCAGAAAATCCGTCATCATGACTCCTTTAATTCGTCCTAAAAACTGAAAACGTCCCCCAAAATTAATTCAGGATTTAAATTTTTACCTTATTCTACCGTACTACCAGCACTCAACGATCAGAAAAAATTTTTATCACAAACCACAAAAAAAAATATTTTTTTTTCAAACCCCTGGAGAACGTGAAAATCAGCGAGAGAAAAAGAAAAGAGAAATTCGTCCGTTCGGAAGAAGTGATCACGCCTTATCAGGGCGCGGTCTTCTTTTTGAGACCTTTCCTATCGAAAATTCTCCCCGAAATCCGTTGAAATTTTTTGAATTTTCACTAAAATACGACCTTAATTTACTGGTAAATCATCATTATCGGATGTAACAGACCTATTCTACTCTGATCTTTCCATTTTATTCCAATTTACCCCCTATTTCACCAAAATTTTTCGATTTTCATCTGATTTTAGACAAAAATTAGCGTTTTTCGTCGAATAAAAGCTCAAAAAGTAAAATACTGCTATTAAAATATGTCTACAGTCCGCTCGGATGACATCCCAACGCTTGATTACCTCGGGGTAATCAAGGTTTTTACCCAAACGGCCGAACCTTCGACCGGTGGACCGAGTACTTCGAGCAGTCAAAATGACTGGACTAGATCATTGGAAGAGCAGATTATCGACCAGATCGACTGTGCGCAAATTACCGGTGAGTTTAGAATCGATTCCAAATTTTTTCTGACCAAAAATTATATTACACTAGGCAACTTGAAGTCAACGACCCTCTAAAATAATATCAATTCCAGGCGAGCTGCCTCGAACAGCCAACAAAAAGACCGTTCCGTTGAAGATTCACGTCTCCACACTTGGGGTCAAGTTCGTGAACCCAAAAAGTAACCACTGCACGCAAAGATTGGCTATGCACAAGTTAATTCAGTGCATCTGCTTTGATGCCGACCATGATGGACTCATAAATCTCGTAATTTTGGAGCAATTGAATGGCAGTGATCATGGTTTGGCGCATTTGTTTCAAACCGGCGACGAGAGGATCGCGGATCAGCTCTGTCGCCAAGTGGGAGAAGCCTTTTATCAGCTGGAAGAGGAGGCCAGAGAGAGGGCCCAGGCCGAACAACAGCGACGGGAGGCCGCCAAGAAGGAAAGGGAGAGGTTGAAGCGACAAAAGAGTACCGAGTCTTCCAGAAAGGTCACCTAATTCCACCTTATATTCGTATTTACCCTAATAATAAACACTAACTTTCAAAAATCACTAGTCCCAGTAAATAAACCCCTAAATTATAAAAAACATGTAGACATTGATTAGTATGATTATGTTTATGATCCAATGGGTACAACAATATAAATCAATGACAGGGGAGCATCATAAACATGTTTTATATTAAAAAACCAACAAAAATTAACAATCGACAGAATTGTAACCAAGGATTTAGAGTTTATCGTAGAAGTTGTCGAGGCCGGGGATACCTTCTTTGAGCCCCTTACGTTTTCGGGTTTCGGTGACAACCTGTCCGGGCTTGCTGTTGGAGTCGAACGGATCTCCGGGAAGGATCTGCCAATGGTCGAACACGCACTGAGGGAAGGCCTGACCTCCGGTGTTGGAACGGAGATCAGCGGTGAAACCTGCAAACAGCAAATTACCCTTTGCACTCCAGACAAATCATAAATCACATTATACTTGATAGAGCCTAAAAAAACAAAAAAATGAAATTAAAAACTCACCGAAGGATTCATTGACAGGCAAGTAGGCCTTGACGACGAACATGGGGGTACCGGCGACCTGGGATTCTTCGAAAACGTGACCACGACGTCTGTTGAGCACACCATAGATACCTCCGACGGCGTTCTCTGGACACTGGATCTCGACCAGGTAGACGGGCTCCAAAAGACGGGGCTCGGCGGTCAACACGGAAGCGTACAGGACACGACGAGCGGTGGGGATGATCTGACCACCTCCTCTGTGGATAGCGTCAGCGTGGAGGGTGACATCGTGGATGTTGAAACGGATTCCTCTCATGTTTTCGTCACATAGAACTCCCTCCTTGGTGGCCCATTGGAAGCCAGCAACGACGGAATCCTTGATTTCATTCAAGTATTGGACTCCCTTGGTCACATCGATAACAACATTGGCTCCAGTTCCGTCAGGTCCGAAGCACCAGATCTTTCTGGCGTCAGTTGGATCGTATTCGTATTTCTCGGCCATGATGCGGGCTCTCTCCTTGGGATCGGCCTTGGGGTCGATCTTTCCGGACTCGATGTCGTCGGGCATACCATCGGGCATAGGGAGGGCCTTCATGAAGATACGGTTGTGCTTGTTGGGGGACTTGGACAGACACATAATGTCGGATTCGGTTTGGACAGTTTCACGGTAGGAAACGACGGGGTCGGACTTCTTGAGGGGAATGCAAGCGTGATCTTCTTCCAAATCCTTCAAACAGATTTCCAAATGCAATTCACCGGCACCAGCGACGATGTGTTCTCCGGACTCTTCGAAGATACATTGGACCATAGGATCGGACTTGGCCAAACGTTTCAGACCTTCGACCAGCTTGGGCAGATCTCCGGCATTCTTGGGCTCGACAGCGACACGCACGACGGGCGAGACAGAGAACTTCATGACTCTCATGTTGTGGGCCTCCTTGTAGGTGGTGATGGTACCTCCCTTGACCAGGTATTGATCGACTCCGACCAGACCGACAATGTTTCCGGCTGGGATATCTTCAATGGGCTCGATGTAACGACCCATCATGAGGATGGTACTGAAATAATCAAAAATAAGTAAAAATACATTACACGTTAATAACATCGCTTTTTGCAAAACCTACCGTTGGATGGTCTTCTCATAGAGATCCTCCTTCTTGCCTGGCACGTAGTTGGGACCCTGGATACGGGCCTTCATTCCAGTGGCGACCTTTCCGGAGAAGACACGACCGAAAGCGTAGAAACGACCCTTATCGGAAGTGGGGACCATCTTGGACACGTACATCATGAGTGGACCGTTGGCGTCGCAGGTCTTGATGGCGATGGCGGCAGGGTCATCATGGGGACCTTCGTACAACATCTCCATACGGTATTTCTGGGCGGTGACTGGGGATGGGAGATGGATACAGATCATCTGGAGCATAGTGTCTCCGGCGGGGAGCCACTTTCTCATGAACACCTTCATCAAGGCCTTTCCTTCGAGGTCTTTTTCTTCAGCTGGGAGCTTGATGTTGAGCTGGGTGATGAGCTTGGCGACCTCATCCTTCTTGATGTTCATGATGGCGTCGAAGACCTTGAAGATTGGGGCCAGAACGAACTTGGAGAAACCACGCTCGGCTCCATCTTCTTGGCTATTGCTCCACTTCTTGGTCTTCTGGTTGAAGAAACGATCTCCCCACAAGTTCTTCATCAGTTTGTCGACCTGGATTCCGAATTTGGAGGCATACATCTCGGCGAATTGTTTGAGGGTGTAGGCCCATCCGTGCAGACCTGATCCGAAACCGACGTTTCCTTCGGCGGGGTTGACCATGATGGGTCCCATTGGTCCGTCGTCGTCACCGTATGTGGCGATAATGACGTTGATGTTTTCAACAATACGTTGGAAGGTTTGGAAGAGTTCTTCCTGGCCAAGTTGAAGCTCGAGCAAGGCACGGTCCATCTTGTTCATGAAAAGGATGGGCTTAATACGCTCAGCGATGGCCTGACGAAGTACGGTCTCGGTCTGGACACACACACCTGTAAAGAAAAAAATAAATAAAAAACAGAAATTGAGATAAATTATATTACACTTGATCTAAGTTGACCACAAACTGCAACTCACCGGAGACACAGTCAACGACAACCAAAGCACCATCGGTGACACGAAGAGCAGCTGTTACTTCTGAGGAGAAGTCAACGTGACCGGGTGAATCGATCAAGTTGATCAAGAAACCGCTAAGTTTCTTTCCACCTTCAACCTCGATCTGAGTGTCTCCCTTGACAAAGTCAACATCCTTCTGGTCAAGTTCAAAGAACATAGAGATGGCACTGAAACGAGTTTTATATTACACTAGATCAAGTGATGTTGTTGTAGCCTAAAATCAAACAAAAATGGGGAAAAACTCACGTAGACTTGATGGTAATACAACGATCCTGTTCATCCTTACGGGTATCAGTGAAACGGGTCTCACCCGCCTTGGCTCCGGCAATAATACCGGCCTTTGACACCAGCGAATCGGTCAGAGTCGACTTTCCGTGATCGACGTGAGCAATAACCGACATGTTTCGGATATTCTTCTTCTTGTCCATAAGGGCACGGATCTCGTCTACGGTGAAGTTCACCTAAAAAATAAGAAATTATATTGCACTTGATAGTTGATGTCAAAAATTAATTAAAACAAGGTGTAAACTCAAAATACCTTGGAATAAAGATTACAAATAGCTAAAAGACAGCTCAATCATGCTGTCTACATCTTTTAGATTTAAAATATTATCTAAAGAATAAAGAAAAATGTAAAAACCTTACCATCTTGTCGTCTCAGTGGTTGTTCGCACGTAAATGAGAAAAACAGGTGCCCAAGAATCTGAAAGCACAAGAAATCGTAAATCTACATCATAAGCAAGATAAATTCACAACAATTATCGCGAAAGATCCCGGAGAAAATAAAAATTTGCGGGAGAAAAAAGGCCTAAAATCCCTAAAATCCTTTCGAAAAAAACTGGCCTCAAAAACACGAAAGGCCGACCGGTTAGTTGTAAAATTACATTTACACCTCTAAAATACGACTCAAAATTACAGTAAAACACAATAACATCACATGATCGGAGAAGGCCGTGGAGAAATTGCCGACTCACAAAAATTGCCTTCGCTCCCTATCCCAAACATTTCGCCACACCCACTGCGAATCAAACCGGGTTACGGTGCGGAGGGAATTCAAATCGTATTTTTCGCGATTTTCGAAATTTTTGCCTATTTTTGATGGCAAAAGAGATCAATCAGCATAAATACAACTAAAAATAGATAGAAACAATAATTTAGAATACAACAATACTAGAATACATTCTTTTACACAGTTTAGACATCAAAATATTAACCATTTTGCATAAAATTAAGGGTTTTTAGAGCGTCTTCCTCATCAAAAAAGTTGCGAACGATTAACAAAAGGTCAAAGATAACCTTCTCTCGTTGCTAATGTCAACCTCCCGGTATTCCGTCCACCTGTCAATGTAAACCACACTCCTTTTCAAGGAAATGCCGAGATCCTACCGGGAAGGAACAGTTGACTCGCTAGAAGGTTGGGACAAGTCTTTTCTTTTACGGAATTTTTTCTGATCTTTGCATGTATCCGCGCATTTTCTTGAAGCAGCTAGATGAATAAGTTCCTTCAAACAACCAGCCAGCTCCTCAGGCCGAGATTCAGCATCCGTAAGTACTTTTTGTCCGACTTTTTCTTGGTTTAGATCGTGGACTTCATGGCTAACATAAAATCGGGGAATCCTCTGTAAATTCCGTTGATTTTAGCTTCCATTTCCATTCGAGGACAAGCTGTTGGCAAGAAGATCGTTGCCGCGAAGGAGGACAAAAGTTTTGTAGATACTGATGCCGAGAAATTGGCAAAACACGTCTGTATCAACTATCTAGTGGAAGGTAAGTCAAAATGTTAGGAAACGGCTAACCAGAGGAAGCAAAAGAAATCGTAGAGAAGGAAGAATGTAGGGGGAATAAACTGAACGCTAAACGGGGTCAACAAACATAAAAAGGAAGGAAGTTCTGAGGGCATCTGTTCTTGGACCATGGTTTATATAAGACTCTTCCGGAATGCGCAAAGCAAGATTTCGCAATAATCCGGCAATGTCTCCACATGGTCAACACATTGTTTGACGCTAGTTTATGTTCTAGTTTGAGGGATTTCGAAAGTTTCCAGCTGTTTTCGCTTTGTTCGAGGAGATTTTGAAATATTTTTGAAATCTTCTTATCAGATACTGTAATTCCTCGCTTTGTTTATGATATTAATCACACTTTTGCAGGCGAAGAACCAGGACCAAAAATTCTTCCTGACTCGGAGTATCCAGAATGGCTGTTCAAATTGAATTTGGCTGATCCCCTACCTCTGGAAGAAATGAACCCCGAAGAACACGGATGGCTGTATTGGAGGGCCTTGCAAAACCGACGAAACGAACAGGCTAGACGGATCAAGCAACTCAAATTGGCAAAGATCCATCTGCAAAATCTTCCCAATATTCGGCGGCCAAAAACTTATCATCGATAATATAAATTTAGGTTGTTTTTGTTGTTTATTGTTCAGTAGTTGATAAAGGAGGATGTGTATAGTGGATTTGTTATATTTTTGTCTAATGGGAGTAAATTTTGTCTGTTACATTGACGCTGAAATGCAGCCAGCTTGATTTTTGCAGATAGTGCAACACTTGACCCAAAACCCCCCAGTTGTGTCAAGTTTCTCTCTTCGTCGGGAAATGTTTTTTCTTGGCCGAAAATGATGAATTTTCAGAAAATCAAAAAACAGTTCACGACAAATCCTTTCAAAAATCGTTTTCACAGCCTCATAACTCCCGCACATGATTCATTTTGTCATTAATTTATTTCTAAATTTATATTAATAACAAAAAAAAGTCGGCAAAGAAACGAGAAATTTTTTTGAAAAATGAGATCCCCGATGAACCTTGGTATGATACAATGGTTATTTAGATGCTATTAGAACAAGTGAATGTTACGAATGGAATGGACGAGTTATGGGTCGAGCATGTATTCCACCGCTTGGATGTTGGAGACGCTTTCCAGGAGATCGTTGCGGAGTCGGTGGATGGCGCGGGACATTTCGTCGTCTCGGAGTCGTTGGTTCTCGTCCTAAACTTGTCCAAAATTAATTTTTATCCAAAATTTACTCAAGGAAAGTAAAAAAAATATTAAAAATTACATTAATTTAGGCAATTTCCCCTATTTTTCTCCAAAAAAAAAAAAAAAAAAAAAAAAAATTAAACTCTTCCTTACCCTTCCCAATAACGCCAAGAATGCTTTCCGTTGATCCGAGCGTATTTTCGGCGGTCGTTCATGTCCATTTACCCGGTTTGCCCTTACTTTATTCATCGATTCCACGTATCTGAAAACAATTGTTGCTTAGTTTCAAATCAAAAAAATATTTTGGATAATCATTTTACACCTCATAAAACTTCTAGTAATCAAATTTCGTCTCAATCTAGCCTTATCTTTGCCTACGTTTGACCTTATATTACACTAGAGATCTGATGACAAAAAATCCAAGCAAATTTTCAAAAATCCAAAACAGGTGCAAGAATCATATTTTACATCCCTTTTTATCTGCTTTCCCCGAATTTCAACTCAGTTAACCAGAGCCTTGACTATTTTTGAGCCTATATTACACTAGGCAATCCAAGCTCAAAAAATCCCAGTTTTTCCAAAAATTTCGCGATTTTTTTCTTTTCCATAATTCACAGCCCTTTCTTATTTTTATTCTAAATTTCAGTTCATTTCCCCAACTTTTTTATATTACACTAGACACCTAAACCTAAAAAAATCCATATTTCCCTGAAATTTAAGAGAAAATCTCTCGAATCCGTATTTTACATCCCCCTCTCCCTCTATATTCTCAATTTCAGCTCTATTCCCCAACTTTTTTATATTACACTAGACACCTAAACCTAAAAAAATCCATATTTCCCTGAAATTTAAGAGAAAATCTCTCGAATCCGTATTTTACATTCCACTCCCCCTCTATTCTCTCAATTTCAGCTCTATTCCCCAACTTTTTTATATTACACTAGACACCCCGACCTCAAAAAATCCCAGTTTTTCCAAAAATTTCCCGATTTTCTTTCTTTTTCCATAATTCACAGGCCTTTCCTTATTTTTATTCTCAATTTCAGCTCTATTCCCCAACTTTTTTATATTACACTAGACATCACTTACTTATAATAGGTCATCGAATGTAGGACCCTCTTGACCTTTATCGAGTTGGGTGGTGGGACAAACAAAGGCTCAGGTTTTGGTGCCGCCGTTACCACGGTGTTCTGATAAGTGGAGGTTTGGGGCTGTTGAACCTGGCCATGATGGATCTGATATTGGCCGGGTTGGAGTTGCTGGGGTTGGGCTCCATGGACAACAATATGTTGTTGGCTTGATGAGGGGACCGCATGTTGTACGACGATTTGTTGTCCGGGCTGGGCTTGGATGGTTTGGGGCTGGTGATTGACGATCACCTGATACGGGGTGGAGCTGTTCAGGTAGGCGACGGAGGAGCCGTTGATGGACAAACTGGAGCCGTTGATGACTTGTACGACTTGTGTGGTGGCGGGGGTGGTTTGTTGGACGTAGACTTGTTGCGTTTGTTGGGTTTGGTGGGAGTGGGGCGGGGCCGCCGAAGTCGAGGGCGTGGCGGCGTAAGGGGGGACCGAGGAGGAGGGCGTGGTTGGGGGGCCGTCCAGCGGGATGGCGGTCTTGTGGGCGACGGCGGTGGCCGTGGTCACGCCGTTCGGCTGGTTGATGAACAGGCCGTGCGACTGGTCCTTGGTGGAGTTGTTCGAGGGCTCCGACTGCGGAATGTAGTGGAAGAAGTGTCTGGAAATTGTGTTCATTAGCTTTATTACACTTTATTCTTACTCATTAATCAAAAAAAAAACAAAAATTTCGCCAAAAAACTCTCATTTTAGCCTTATCTTTAAAAATCCCAAAAATTTTTTAAAAAATTTCAAATTTTCGCCATTTTTCGTCAAAAAAATCAAACTTTTTAAAAATAAAAATCACCGTAACACCACTGACCACAATAAAATTAACTTTCAACCCAACATACCACCATAAAAAAACGTATTTTACCAATTTTCCTTCAAAATCCAAAAAAATGTCAAAAATCTCATTTTTCGTCGAAAAAATCAAAAATTTTCCCTTCAAAAAAATAAAATAATAATTTCATCTAAAATCTACTCCCTTCTGAATCAAAAATTCCATTAATCTCAGCCGTATTTTACCCATTTTCTCCAAAATTTCCTCCCAAATCTTCAAAAAAAACCCGCACTTACTTTCCCCTCTGATTTGGTTGGATAACCTTGCCGGAAGCGGGCATATGTTTCTCTCGTATATGGCGGAGGAGTCTGGGAAGGGATGGGAAGGGTTTTCCGGTCTGTCGGTACTTCACGCAGGTCATCCAGAGGCATGCGTAATGCGCCTCGCCGTCGATGACGACCTTGTTTTCGTCGGCCGACGCGTGGCTCACGCGGATGTGTTCGAAGAGGCCGTCCGGATGGTCGAACTGGTAGTCGCATCCGTGCCATTTGCACACGTTCACGCGGATCTCACCGGGCTGAAATTGGGGAAATAAAATCTTGGTCAAATCATCATGGATAAGGTCAAATATTAGCTGAAAAAATATGTTCACCTTAAAACTACCCTCAATTCTTCTTATCGCTCTAATTCACACCAAAATTATCCTTATTTCGCTGATTTCTAAGCGTTTTATCGCCAGAGGAAAACTTGACCCATTGGGTCAAGTGTTACCCTGCCTGCCAAATCAACTCAGAACTTGTCCAAAAAGATTCTACAGCCTTCTAAACTACTTCTATTCCTTATATCCACCTCAACTTTACCAAATTCCCCCTAAAATCCGAATTTTTCCTTCATTGTCCCCCTTCAAGGGGGACACTTGACCCAAAATTTGCCAACTCTTCCTCTACGTCCAAAACCCTCAAAAAACTGAAAAAACTCATAGCAGTGGCTCTCAAATACTCTCATATTTCTATTTCAACCCAATTTCAATCAACTTTCCCCCAACTTTCCTCCAAAATTTATATTATCCTACCTGAAGGACCTTGCTGTTCGGTGTTAAAAGGTCGTTTTTGGCGCGTGCATCGGCGATGATGTTGGCTCGTTCCTCGTATTGTCGTTTCTGTTCGTCAGTGAGTTTTTTCCACTCCACTCCGACAATTTTGCTGACTTCTCCGAAGCCCGATTCCGGGTTCTCGTTCATGATTCGTTTGCGGATTTCGGCCGAAAACAGGATGTAGCCGGACTTGGATTTGGCGTTCAGCTTGGGTTGGTTGGCGAGCCAGGCAATGTCCTTGAGGACGGGGGAGCTTTCCAGCTGCTCCGTGACATGCCGGTCCTCATTCTCCAGGTCGTGGTGGTCGATGGGCAGGGCGTTGTCGGTTTTCGCGACTTCCGAGGAGAGTTCCTGCAAATTGCGCGCATTATAAGACTTATAAGACTATTCAATACAGTTGAAACAAGTCGCGATTTTTTTCAACTGCCAAAAATTTAAAAAAAATTCAAAAAAATTTCAAAAAATCTCAAAAATTTTCGAAAAATTTTTTTTTCAAAACTCACTCGTTCCATGGTTACTGGGTTCTTGAAGTAAAAAACTTCGTCATCCGGTACAGCGGCCGACAATGGGTATTGCTGAAATTTCAAAAAATCATTTTTTGGATATTACTTTAGTCAAAAAACAAAAAAATCTCGAATTCTCTTCAAAAATCAAAATTTCCAACTCCCAACATAGCATCCACAACTTCTTAGAGGCATTTCCTTTAATTTTTTGCCATTCCCACTCCCTTTTCTCCCCAATTTCCTCAAAATTCGGTATTTTCGGCCTTATTCTAGCTTTAAAGTCCCAAAAAATCCCTCCCAAAGCTCGGAACGGCGTTCACCGTTCCTCCCAAGCGTGTTACTCGGTTCGGTCAGCGGGGTGAGCCGAGTGACCAAAGCGGGGGCTCCCCGCTTCCGAGAGTTTTGGCTGGACGCGGGGCAAAAACAAAAAAAAAGAGGGGGGAAGGAGCCTGAGGGGCGAGAAGGAGAAGAGCAAAGAGGCGTTCGCGACGTGATGTGTGGACGGGAGGGGTCATAACCCGCGTGCTCGTACCTATTCCTTTTGGTTTGAGCGCGTTTTATCGGCAAAAAATTATATTATAATTGACATATCAAGTGTAATATAATTTTTGGCCCGTTCCTTATCTCCAACGCATTTTCCGACGGTTTGTTGCAGAAAATTAGAAATTCTCTGTCATTTTGCGTACACAAAACGCGATATCATCTCCACAGAGTTATATTTTTACCGCTTGTTTACATCACAAAGAAGGTCGCCATGTGTTCGAAATGGTGAATGTTCCGACCGATTTTCGTTACGAAAACAACTCGTTCCGTTCAGAGACTACAGTTCAAAATATTTTCCAACAATTTTAGGCGAATAATTAAAACTTTTACAGATAAAAACCCTAAAAATCCTCTATTTATCCATTTTCCTTTATACAAAACTCAAGTTTAATGTCAAAGCCATATTTCTCTCTGTTTCTCTACCTCAATCTCCATGTGCTGTGCTCTCTGGCTGGCTTCGGGCCTTCTCTGCGAGATCCCCTACCGCTTTGGGTCCGGCTTCGCGGAGAAGGGGGTAAAAAAAGTAAAGCAAGTGGCTGAAGACAAGCAACTCCTCTGCCAGCGCTCGGCTACTTCGCGGAGTAATTTTATTGCTCCCGCGGAGAACTAAACCCCTTTTTGAGGGGCTTCAGGTGGCTTACAGGCTGCGAAGAGGCCACGGGACACGTCAGTGTGGGGAGGAAGAGAGACAAGTTTTGGTCGTTCCGCACGGCCAGCACATGGTTCTTCGAGAGGGGGGAAAAAGGTCTCGCAGCGGCCGCTTTTGGGGCGAATCCGAGGGGCGAAGGAGGGTTTTTCAAGATGCGGCGGAGTCGTTTCTGGAGCTGAAACTCCTCCGGACTTCTCGAAATGCATAAAACAATCAATAGATTCTCTCTAAAACCGGCTAATCATCGCAAGTCCAACAATATTCGGCTATAGCACGCGCTATGAGCCAAACTCCGGTCTAAAATCAATGAATACTCAAAGATCCAGGATAAAACCATCAAACCATTCCAAGCCAAGGCTTTAGCTGTTAAAACGAGCCCGCCGGACAGCCGAAACCCCGCTAGCCAAACGCCGTGTCACATCCGAAACTCCCTTCGCGAAGCCCATACATCAAAAACACGTGCGAGTTTCGCGTCGAGTCCCCGGCGTCTCCGCCGTCGTTTCCGCGGGCTCGACGCCCTGCGAGAAAAGCGGGTTCGGAATGCGCGCTCCGCGCTGGCCGATGGAGCCGCTGGCTCGGGCGAACGGCTCCACTGGGTTCGGCGTGGCGGAGCCGGGGCGGCGGCGGCGAAGAACGGATCCCGTTCGCTGCTGGTGGGGCAGGGACGGGGGGAGAGCTGGAAAGGAAGGAAGAAGAAGAAAAGGGGGCAAGGAAGGCAGGCAGGCAGGGGCGACAAGAAGGCGAAGAAGAAGAAGCACCGACCGAACCCACGAACTCTCCCCTCCTCTCAGCACAACGGGAAGGGAGGCAGGCAGCAGGGACCGAGCGAGGCTTGATGGAGGGGGGAAAGGGGCGAGTCTCCGCTCTCTTCTCGCCGCCGAGAGACAGGAGAACGGGGCGACCACCAGCACAAGGGGCATTCCGAGTTTTTTCTAGTTGGACTGGTTGGGCGGCTGGCTGCGAGATCGAGCGACAACGCTCTGCGAAGACACCAAACGACCATTCGAGACGACGCGAGACCGACGAGAGACAACTGGACGGCTAGACCACAGAGGGTATTCAAAAACGGGGTGCGAGAAGAGCTTTTCTTTGAGACACAACGAGAGAGGTGACTGCACAGTGCAATCCGCTGGCCTCTCTTGTTTCGGGGCTCTAGACAAGCAGAGAAACGACAAAATACGCTGTTTTGATACGAGACGGCGACCAGCACAAGACGGCAATGGGACGCGAGGGGTTTCGCGGCGGTGGCGGTTCGTTTCGGGGGGGACATTAAGCATGAGGCGCGCCCGGCTTTAACCGCGTTTTAATGGCGCGCCGAGAGAGACGCGGCGATGGATGCGGGGCGGCTATAGCCATGTCTAGAGTCCGCTGTTGAGATACCGCGGGAAACAACGAGAGAGCCCGACGAACAAATGCAGTTTGACCAGAGAGGCGGGAGAAGTCCGATTCCGCTGATTTTATGGACAGTGCGACGAGAGAGTCGACTTTAACTCACCAAATCCGAGAGACCGACAGAGAAATCGAGGGTTTTGGAGCAAAAGAGTCTCTCAAAGGAGGCGTTAAAGGTCCCGCAGCATGGGCAGCGACCAACGACTGGAGCTCTTCGTTCAGCTGGCGACGGAGCGAGAGATCACGGGAGCAGACAGCAAAAGTCGACAAAATACATGTCCAATCTTCATTTACAGACAGCCAGAGGACTCGGCAAGACTCAGAACCTTTCTTGTGTCATTACGAAGCCGCAGAGATGAAAACAAAACGTCGAGAGATCAGTTCCGACCCATTTCTTCCAGATTAACATCAATTTCCGAAGGATTTCGACAAAACATTCAATTCGAAGAGACGGCAGACAGTTAGCGACTCATTTCTGGGTGGCTGTGGGGCTTCGGCAAGCGGGGGATTCTTGGTTCTGCGGCCGGTGCGAGACATCACAGCGTGATGCGATTTTCGTGGGCAGAGAAAACACCGCTTCTCGAGGGATCACCCCGACTTTTGAGGGGTTTCCAGACAATTAACGGTGAAATTGGTCCGTTTCCACTGCATTTCAATGGGGGTTGGTGGTGGAATAGTAAATAATATCCGATTGCATTCCTCTCTAGGCTTCGTTTTTCCGGCTGTGCTCTCCGTTCGTCGCCCCACTCTCTCCGATTTCTCCGGCTTCGCGGAAATTTAAGCCCTCTGTTGACGGTTTATGAGGTCGGATCGGGTTTATATCGTACGGGAAATGGGTGAGAATGTACGGTGCAAACGTCTGAGTGGCGAAAACAAACTTCTCCAAAACCAACAATTTTCGTGGTGGGACCCAAAATTGGGTTGCAAAAACAATTTTTTTTTTTCAAAATTTTACAAAATAACTCATTTTTAAGTAAATTTGCATATCAAAAATGTGCTTAACCATCAATTTTTTGGTCATTTTTTCAATTTCAAAATTTTTTTTTTCCAAAAAATCAATTTTTTCCATTTTTTTGTCCCCAAAAAAATAAAACATGTGTTTTCGTCGAACGCTTATTACTTCTGTCCCCTCTTGAGAGGGGTTTTTGCATTCGAAAGTAGTTTTATGTAATCAAAAATTGGCCGTTTCCATGGCTCAATTTTTTTTTCAAAAGCTCAAAAAATTTTTTTTTTTTCAATTTTTTTTTCTCCAAAAATCTAAAAAAGCCTATTGGAAACCCCCGTATTTTACAAATTCTTACCTTGATTCGGCGGAAAACTTTGTGAGAGGCGTATTTCATGTAATTCTCCTGATCCCTGGGGTCGCCCGAGACTTTGTGGTCCAAGACGAACACATCGCACTCTGGGATCTCCGTCGGACGGGCTGAAAATATTACTCATCATGGTATTGCATAAAAAAATCAAAAAATGCAAAAAATATTTTTTTGAAAAATCGAAAAATTTACGATAAAAAATCAAACATTTTGGATTGTAAAACAATTTTAATAGTCTGAAGATGCCTGAACAAATCACTGCTTCATAAAATCCTCAAATTTCACATAAAAATCAAAAAAAAAGCAAAAAATTTTTTTTGAAAAATAGCAAAATTTCCGACAAAAAATCAAAAATATTGTATTTTAAAACAATTTTAAAAGTCTGAAGAAGCCTGAATATTAACCATTGCATCATAAAATCCTCAAATTTTCAAAAAAATCAAAAAAAAGCAAAAAAATTTTTTGAAAATTCCCAAAATTTCCGATAAAAAATCAAAAATTTTGTATTTTTAAAACAATTTTAATAGTCTGAAGATGCCTGAAAATTAACCACTGCATCATAAAATCCTAAAATTTTCACATAAAAATCAAAAAAAAAACAAAATTTTTTTTTTGAAAAATCTCAAAATTCCGATAAAAAATCAAAAATTTTGTATTTTAAAACAACTTCATTAGGCTGGTAATTCTGTATACACCGTATTTTACATCAAATTCCATTGAAATTCACCAAAATTTAATCCTTTTTCCCCTAAAGTAATATAATTTTACTACTCAAAAAATTTCTCAAAATTTTTTTCCAAATCCCTCCAATTTTTGCACCTACAGGTCTGCCAATTCCTCATCGTCAACACCGTGCATTTGGCTTGAATCGAATCGACCAATTCGACGCGATCTCGGCCTTCGACCATGATAACTTCTTTTTTGTAAAACTTGATGGAGGGTTCGTGGACGGTCTCGCAGGGTCGGCAAAACCACGATCCGGAGAAATATCGTTCCCCATCCGGGGTTTTCCAAATCTTTTCCATGCGCATCACATCGCAAAACGGCTTCTTTGGATTGAAAACCAAGACAAAGTCGCCGTGTCGCAGGTACATTCCGGCGGTGTAAATCTGCTCGTAGTATATGACGTCATCGGCGCTAGCCGTCTCGGGCTCTTTTTCGGTCTTTTCGGGTTCTTTTTCGGTCTTGATGGGCTCCTTTTCGGCCTCCTTTTCTTCCTTTTCCCCTTCTTCTTGGGGTTCTTCGTCCTCGTCCAGAGATTTTGCGACATGTCTTTTGAGGATCACCTCTTCCCTGTGCACATCCAGAACGTATGGAAGGCCACGCATTCGCTCGTCCTCTTCCTCTTCGTCCTCGTCTTCGCTGGGCTCGTCGTTTGTTGATTTGGCAGCCTAAAAATAAAAAAATCGAATAAAAAATTTTTTTTAAATGAGATTTGTGTCCACCACGAAAACTCAAAATTCCTTAAATCTTTTTAAACCCATTCCCATACTCCGTATTTTACTATTCAATCAAAATCTAATCCAATTTCAAATATTTTTAAACCCATTTTTAGGTCCCACCACGAAAACTTTCAAACCCCCCCCCCAAAACGCCTCAAAATTCCCCCGAAATCATTTCAAAACCATTCCTAGACTCTATATTTTACTTTTCAATCAAAATCTACTCCAATTTCCAAAATCATCCAACCCAATTTTGGGTCCCACCACGAAAACTTTCAAACTCTCCAAAACGCCTCAAAATTCCCGAAATCTTTTCAAACCCATTCCTACACTCCGTATTTTACTTTTCAATCAAAAATATCCCCCAATTTCAAAAATTTTAAACCCAATTTTGGGTCCCACCACGAAAACTTTCAAACTCCCCAAAACGCCTCAAAACCCCCTAAATCTCAAAAGCCTCACCTCTGAATTCACAAACTCGCTGGTTTCCGTTTTCTCCACCGTGATTTCCTCCGGTCTGGCTTCAAATTTCAACTTCTCGGCATCTTCCGGATACGGCCATGTGGAAAGTCGGCGGAAATGAAGTCGTCGTCCCAAATATTGATGGTCGCACACGTAGATGTCCTTGGATTCGAATCCTTTCGGTTCCGACGTACAGTAGTCGTCAACGAACATCACGGCGCACTTTCCCTTCAGCCGGTCGACGGTGACACTTCCGGGGAATTCGGTCAAAAACACCTCCTAAAATACGATTTCAAACAAAAAATTTTTTTAACAGCCATTGACAGGTCATTCTCCCCAAAAATTCAAAAATTTTTGGTCCCACCACGAAAACTTGAAAATCAAAATTTTGGCCTAAAATTGATCTCAATCTATTCTACATTCCTTAAAAACTCATAAACAATCTATTACTATCACTTTTGCCTCAATATAACCCGATCTTTTCCCATTTTTTATCTTCTCCATGACCACCTACTACAATATCCAAAAAATCCAAAAAAATCTGCACTTACATTCGGATAAAACTTCCTTGTGGCCAAGTGGAAGGTCTGTGCTGGCTTATAGACCCAGATTCCACTAATCAGTAGTTCATTATTCTCTTCTGGGACCCTTTTTATGCTCTGAATTCTCAAAATGTGTCGTTGTTCTTTTTCGGACGAGACATAAACATAATCGCCGATCGAGTATTCGATTCCATCTTTTTCAACACTCTCCAAGCCTTCTTGTTGCTGAAAACATCAATTTACCTTACTATATTCCCACAATCCCCCAGAAATTTCAATTTTTCCAAGGCTCCCCTCAACCCCTACTACAATATAAATTTTTACCTCCAAATCTTGATTTTCGTCCTTTTCCTTCTCCAATTTCTTTTCCTCCTTCAACTTCAGTCTATGTTCTTTCCTTTGTTCGTCCACTTCGTCGTTCAGCATGGACTCATTGTACGTGCTGGCCGGGGAAACGAGGACCGTCTTGCACAACTCCTCTCTTTTATTGATAAAAGCCAACTGAAGCTTGATGGAGTCTTCGAAAATCTGGCTGGTGGGTGAAGTGAGTTGTCTGACCTTCGCGAACAACGCAAACAAATCGTCTTGGAAGCGGTCCAGTCTTCGGTATCTTCCTTTGTCCACATTGATCTTCAGCTGGTCGAAGGTGAATGGCATTTCCGCCACTTCGAGGCCGTTTTTCGCGAACAAATCCTTGACGTCGGCAAATGAATCCGCCAATACTCTCTCGTTCTCGGCGTAGGTGTTCACATAGACCAGCAAGTTGGTTAAAATTCTCTTAACTTGCACTTGAACCGAGGGTACCGTGGACTCCTCGAAAAGTTCCGCTTTGATTTCCATGAGTTCCTTTTGCAGAGTGATGGCGTCGCGATAAATTTCCGAGTCCGGTTCGTTGAATTTGCACGCATTTTCGAAGACCAAGTTCAGTTCGTTCAGGAAAAGTCTCAGCGAATCGTAGGGCTTGTAGACGATTCTGTGGCGGATTCTGCTCAAATCCATCGGTTTTTTGATGATGTCGTAGTACTCGGGGTACTCCTAAAATACGAAAACAGTCAAATCGGAAAAAAAATTTCGAAAAAAAACAAATTTTGGGTCCCACCACGAAAACCTCATAAGTAAGAAAACGCATAAAAATCTCAATTCTAAGAATTCTAAGCCTCTCAGCGCTCTTTTCTCGTCAATTGCAAGCCTTCCAATCAAAAAAATACAAAAAAAACTATTTTTTGGGTCCCACCACGAAAACCTTATACGCAATACATCCCACAAAAATCTCAATTCTAAACTTCTCAGCACTCTCAACTCATCAATTGCAAGCCTTCCAATCAAGAATTTCCAAAAAAAAAACCAAATTTTGGGTCCCACCACGAAAACCTCACATTGACCAAAACCGCCACAAAAAGTCCTAAATTTAGACCTACTCCATATATACCCTCCCAAAATACCCTTTCCACCACTTTTCCTTCAAAAAATTTCAATTTTAGGTCCCACCACGAAAACCTGAATTTTCAATTTCCCGTCAAATCCGCCAAATTTCATTTCCTTACCGCCCTCGAGGGTAGTCGCATAAATTTGTCCGACAACAGGCGATTATTATCGCCTCTGCAGTTGGAAATTGCGTCCAGGATGGACAACATGTGATGTTGGAGGCCGTTGAGGCGGCTCGGAGTCGGCGGAGGCCGTTCTTTTTTGATCTTAGGGCTTGGCTTATACACGTATGGGACCTCTTCATCCAGATCTCCGTTGAAATAGGTCGGTTGCTTTCTGAAATCACCGATTATGTACAAAAAACGTCAAAATTTATGGATTTTTGAAAACATTATGGACAAAAAACGTAAATGTCAAAAATCGGTAAAATCTTACTTGCTGGGTGGTGGGCAATGCAGAGAGGTGTTGTTGGTGACGATTCCCAGCAAATGCAGGCCCTGTTTCTCGAGGGTATTGGCGTCTTTGTAGATCTGGGAGCCTGGTTCGTTGAAATGGCGGGCGTTTCGGCACATGAGGCGGATGTCGTCCATAAATTCGTCCGACACCTTGTACTGAAACCAAATTCCATATAACTCAGATTTTTTAATCTATTTCCAAAACCTTTCCATCTAACAACACCAAAAATTACATTGTTTTAGGTAAAAAATTCGGTAAAATTTTTGCGATTTCAATTAAAAAATCGTTGAATCCCATCAAAAAATCAATCAAGATCTCATAGACAACCTTTTCCTTCATTAAAATCTTCAAATTCAACTAATTTTAAAAATTTTTTTATATTGCACTAGGTATGAAATTCAAATTTTTGATAAAAATCCCAACTCAATCGTAACAAAACCACTCCTAACTATCCTAAAATTATTTTTCAGGTCATTTCACATCTTATAAAATCCCAAACTCCCCAAAAAATCGTCAATTTCAAAAATTTTTTTTGCTATATTATACCAGGTCAAAAGGTGTCAAAATTTCCCCAAAATTATATAAAAACCTATATCAAAACCCCTTAATCTGCCTTTAAATTTCACAAACTTTCTTTCTACATTCACTATTTTTCAAAATTTAACTCAAAAAATAAAATTTCAAAAAAATTTTTTTTTTTTAATTTTTTCAAAAATTCAAGACCCACATCTCCATTCTGGATCCTGTGTTTGATCTGGGTTAAATCGATGGGATTTTTGATGGCTTCATAGTACTCCGGGAAGTCTTTTGGGCTCGGTGGGAAGAGGAATTCCTTGCAGATTCTTCGGCCGCCTTCCGTGATGCTTTGAAGGCCTTCCACGACCTCCATCAGCTTCTGTTTGTATCTTTCTCTGAGTTCATTGAACGATTTCCGTCCCGGTTTCATTTTCGGGCCATTCGGATCGCGTTTCAATCGCTTTGGGATCAGCAATTTTCGTGATTCGATTGCCGTTGGTAATCGGCTCGGCGGGATTCCACGCTTCTTTTTCGGCGAGCCCGGGGACGACTGGTCGAGGTTGGAGTTGTCATCGGAGGTGATGCTGAGGCGATGTGCGGATTGGCGGGTCACACTTGGACTGGAGGGGGCGGGGCTTGGGCTGCCGGTCATCTCCACCTTCGATTTTCGGCCTTTTTTGGGTGGGTTGACGGGAGTGGGTGGCGCGGGAAGGCTCTCCTCTTCTTCTTCATCCTCTGGGGGATCCGTGAAGGGCTGAAATTTGCATTTTCAGAGCGAAAATTATATTACACATGGTAAAAATTTTTACATTTTTTTAATAAACTAAGTTCTAAAACACTCCAGATGCTCTACTATTACATAATTTAGTCAAATCTATGAATAAAAAGCCAAAAAATTACCAAAATTACCAAAAATCATCAAAAATCGTCTAAAGTAATATAAAATTTTTCAAAAAAACCCTGTAAAACCCATCTTAAAGCCCACTAAATCCCCTCTCCTACCTTGATATCCACTTCAATTCCCATTTCCTTCACCGTTTTGATCAGGAACGTCTCCAATTCCGCGGCATCTTCATAAATATCAGATTGGGGGACGTTGTAGGTCATGGCATTGCAGAAGATTTTATGAATGTCTTCCACGAGCTCTCCAATGCTCTCATAGGTGCCAGTTTTCATTCGTTTGTTCACCAGGTAAAACGAGACCGGGTCTGTGATCTCCTCGTAATAATCGGGGTAGTGTCTAAAACAAGGTAAATTAATATAAATTAATATCAAAAATCTTCGTTTTCATATAACCAAACCATTTTTTAATCCTCAATATGGCTTATTTTCTCAATTTCACACCCTTCAAACCAAAAATTTTGATAAAAAATCAAAAATTTATATTATCCATGACACTGATATAAATACATAAAAATCTTTGATTTTTTCGACCCTACCTCCTCTCTACTTCATTCCAAATCACTTACACTTTCTCTGGAAGGGCCATGAAGCTTTCCGACAGTTCTCTTCCATCCTTTTTGTGGTCTCGGACCTTCCAATACAAATTTCGCATTTCCTCCGAGACCGATTCCTGATTTTCATCGTCCGAATCCTCGGAAATTGTGTCCTCATCAGCTTCGTAGCTTTGTGAGAGCAATTCTTCGATTGTTTCTTTATTTTTGTTTGCTCTGAAACAAAAACTTGAAAGATTTGTCAAGTCCAATATAACTTTAGGTCCAAATTTGTGAAAAACTTGATCCAATCGTCTCTAAACATCGAAAAAAACAAAATTAAAAGGGCTTACTCTTTCGCTGGCATTTTTTTACTGTCCTTGAGTTCATTACACTTCGCATTTGCAAACTGATTTAGCTGAACGGCGTCTTTGTAAATGACGCTCCCAGGTTCGTTAAAAGTCTTTGCATTGCGGAAAAGCAGCCTGAGATCGTCTTGGAATTCCTTCCAGCTCGCATATTCGCCATTTCGAATTTTTTGGCCAATTTTTTGCAGGTCAATTGGGTTCTGGACGGCTTCATAATACTCGGGGAATTTGTCGCGAGGTGCCAGAACTCGGAATGGCGGGCATAATAGCCTTCCTTGTTTATCCGTTAAGTCGAGGATAGCACAGACGACAGCTTGGAGACGCCATTCTTCGATGGGCTCACTAAAAATTGAAAAAAAAAATTTTGACCTAGTACAATATCAGGTAAAATATAGGCCAAAAAAATACTTTTTTACTTACTTTTTAGCTGTTTTGGAGTTTGTTTCCTCTTCAGGGAATAAGATTTTATCTCTTTCTTCATGAAAAACTCGTTGCAGAGCGATGGCATGCTTTCGTTCTTGAGAGTCAGCCTAAAATAAGGTAAATTATATAAAAACAACACAAATTTAAAACCAAAATTCCTTCATTCTACCTTCAAAAGAACCTTCATAGTATTATTCATCCATTTCAAACAAAAAAACTCGAAAAACAAGCCATTTTTGATTAAAAAACGTCAAATTTGTCTAGTGTAATATCCAAAATCTCAATTTTATCAAAATTAATCCTTCAACTCAACAAGACACCCCTCTCAAATGCTAAATCAAGCCTTTCTACCTCTCTTCCAGCCCTCACCTTATAATAGCTCAACGAATTTTTGATCAGCAATTCAAAATCGTCGCAGATTTCCTCAAAAGTCCCATAGTCATCGGAATTCAATTTCTGTGAGATTCGTCCAATGTCGATGGGCTTTTGGATTGCATTGTGGTACTCGGGGTCGGAGCGGCGTGATGGTGCACGCATAAATGTCTCCGAGATCAGGGCGCCTGACTCATCGCGAGCCGCTTTTATGGCGTTGAAGAGGGCCTGGCAAAGGCTGCTCTGGAAAAAAGATTCTCTTACAAATGCAGGTTTATACGAATTTTTACGAGCTCTGCAGAGCTCTGAGACGTATTAACATGGATTATGAAAATTCTCAAAGTTTTTTTCAACAAAAAATTATATTGTTTTAGATACCAGCTGGTATTTCTTGAAATAAAAGTCGCGTTTCTCCTCCAACTTTCAACAATTTCAATTCAAAACAAATTCCACTTGTTTGGAAATTAAATTCTCCACCAAAAAGCCGCGAAATAAAACTTTCAACAGTAAAAAAAGCCCTTCTCTTCGAACGTCTCTCCTAAAATTCGAAACAAAAATGTTGAAAAAAACTCACTTGGTCGACTCCTGGCTCTTTTCGGGCTCGTTTGCGACCTGGAGTGGCTCCATCTTCGGTTTTTCGCCTTTTGGTACTCATACCTGTAAAAATTTTTTAAAACTAATATAAATTTTTTTAGGAAAATCGCGAAAAACAGTCAAGACTCGCGTTAAAAAGTTGTAAAAATAATTAAAATGAGATGCAGAGGTCAGTAAAAAGGTCTCAGATTACTTTTTTACCACAATTTTTTCAAAAATTATATTGCACTAGGTATAAAAAAAATTTCTTTTCTTTTGCAAAACAACGATAAATCCACACTTGTAAAAAGTTTTTTCTACCACAAATCGCCCATAAACGACAAAAAAAAGTAAAGTACCGACTTGTCCGACATTGTTTTAGACCCGAGATCACCTTTCCAGCCCAATATCCCATATATGTTATTGAGCGATACTTGAGGCGCTTCCCGCAGAAAAATGGCGCCCAAAAGCAAGGGGGGAGAATGAAAAGGGGGGTCTGGCTGGTCGGAACGCGAAATCGCGCGCTTCTCCGACAGAACGCGACCCGATCGTGAAGGCGCTTTGGGGCTCGGCTGCTGGACATACAACCGGACGAGGATGGACGGAGCAGCGCCAAAATCGGGTACCAATTGCCTTGGGCTTGCTTTTGGCTCGGAATTTGCTGGTTTGAACGGCGCCGCACAGTGCAATTGAGGGTTAATATCAAGTGTAATATAATTTCAAAAAAATATTAATTCCATTGAACTGTTGATGCAGAAAGGTTTAATATAGCCCACTCAATGCACTTTTGCCATTAAAACTTTTTATTTTAATCGAATTCTCAAGATTCGAACAATTTAAAGTTTTGATACCTAAAACAAGGTAAATTGAAAAATTCTTGTAGAAAACATCACTAAAATCACTGCAAATAACTCTGAATAGAATCTACCGACCAGAAGCTTCGTACAACACCATAAACCAAGGTAAAAATTCAAAGCCCTCCGGCATAAATTCCCAAATTAAAAAAGGATCTCCCTGTTTCGACAGATTAGCAAGTTTACCCGCCAAAACTGTTGAATAGCCTGCAAAAACAAACATAAAACCCACGAAAACAGCTGCAAAACACAATCAGCAATAAAGTTATAGAGCAAACAATAAATAAATAATCGAAAGTTTAAAATTTCCGGTTTTAGGTAATAACTAATAAATTTTGAGTAAAAAACAGTTAATCCTCAAGATTTTGACCGCAAATGAACCTAGGAGATGAGAGAATTTCAAAGTCTTCAATAAATTGGAGATCTCAGACAAAAATCGTCAATAATCCCAGCCTGGCATCAAATAATCTAGTATAATATCAAAAATAATATCCAAAAACTGCAATTAATCGAGGGAAACGGAAAAAAACCCGCCGAAAAAACTCCCTCTGCAACATTATTCTATAAAAATTTGCACTCCATAAAAAGCCGAACGAAACCGAAAAGAACTCCCTCAAAAATCTCGCTGAATTCCGCAACCCATGGGAAGGCCAGCTAGCCGAGCGTTTTGAGCAATATTTTGGGGAATCCAGGCGCGCGAAACGGTCTCAGTGGGAGAATCGGGTCGTCCAGCCCGCATTGACTAGGAATTTCTCGTGGAAGGAACGCTTCATAACAACTGGTTTGCGTCCCGCCGCGAAAGATTGGAATGCCACGAAATTCTTGGCATTCTGTTTAAGGTTTCGGAATTGTAAAATCTTTTTGTGAAATTGCAAATTCTCGACGGAATTGGGTGTCTGCAGTGTTTTTGTGCGATTTGGCGATGATTTTTATGTTGATCTAGACGGGTATATTCAACATGCCACCAAAGCCTTCGACCAGTGCACAGGTCCTTGTGGAAGAGACGAAAAAGGTGCTCAAGGAGAAGAATGTGGTCAAATTCCATCAAATTATTACGAAATTGAAAAAAGTAAGAGGTCATTTTACTAAGATTTTCCATTTTCTGTCGATTTGTTACCTAAAATAATATGATTTTGCGAAAATTTTTGTTGCGATTTACTTTGACCAAAAATAATCGATGTCACATGGTGGATGAATAAATTCTACGTCTCGAACTTGCAGAAATGCTCGACAAAAGCGGCAGTTTTGGAGTTCTTTCAAGAGAATCTCTCATGTTACCATGTGCTTCTGAATGCGATGGATATTCTGATGTCCGGAGGATGGAAGTTGAACGACAGTCCGCTTGGTACTGTCATGTGCAAAGAGTTGATCAGTTTGATTGCAAACCTGTGCCATTTTACGGTTACTGCGGCAGTTGAGGTGAGAAATTTTTATCCGATACCTAGTGTAATATAAATTTGTCGATTTCTCGGAGAATTTTGTTTGGAATCATAATTTTTATCATGTATAAGGTAAAATAAGTTCTATTCTTTCTAATCAGAAAAAAATTTCAGCTGCGGAAGTTGAATGGGACCAATTTTTCATCAAATTCCCTGAGGCTTCTGGAATCAGCACTAGGCTTCAGAAATGACTCAATTCTGAAGGCGTCCTTGCTTCGACTCCTCAGTAATCTGGCTGATTACCGAGAGACATGCTCTCTAGTCACTTTACATTCGTCGTTGCTGGACAAAATCGCGTATATGTTGAATGATACGGAAAAAATTATTTATGAGGCATCAATCCGGGTGATCAAGCAATTGTCCCGACACAGGTCGTGTGTGAAGGTGAGGCTTTCTAATAACCCTCTAGATATCACTGTTATGCCTCGAGCGACCAAAGTTTTAAATTTCCCCCAATTCAAGCTATTTTTGACATCAATATGACACAGAATTATATTATCCATGAGGTTAATATAATTTCTAAAAAAATTTATTTATAGCATGTCGTAATGTCAAATAGCGCATACTATATGGGTGTACGGATCAAACAACTACCTCAGGGTGATATAATCGATGATGTAAATATACTTTCGACCATGGAATTGCTCAGTAAATCGACGTATATTCGAGATTTTGGACGACAACTGGCTCAGAGGTGGGATTTTGGTCTTTAAGTCTGTGTGGATAGCCATAAAAAGTTGTAATTTGAAATCTTTATTGATGTTTTTCTTCCAAAAAGTGTAATAATCTATTTTTTATTGTTTTAGCACCTGCAACGAGGCCTTGATGAACATTTTGTACAGTGAAATCAAAGAGGACAAGGACGATTTGCTAAAAAGATGGAAGTCTCTGATTGTGTTTTTAGCGAAATACTCGTTTCAAATGCGAGAAATGTTCAACCAACGGGTCATTGAAGAAGTGGTTCAAAAAGGCGTTCTGGACAAGTATTTATGCTCATTTTTGATCAGTTTTACTGTGGTAAGTCGTAGAAAGTTTTTATAAGACCTTTCTGATTATTTATTTTCGCTTTCCGGAGGCGTACAGTCGTTTTTCGACTGAGAGAAAGACTTGACCCAAAATGGTCAAAATGGGTCAAGTCTTCCTCTGAGCGGAAAAACTGGGCTAAGCTCTTTGCAGTTGCTGCTTTTTGAGATTATTGGAACAAAAAGGACATTTATATGATTTTAGGAGCCTTACGGCCGCTCGGCCCTCCGCCTCGGCGGCGGAATCGACCTCATTTTGGAGCGAATGACCTCAATAAAAAGTCTCAAAGAGCAATCGGAAATTGTCGCAAGCTTTAAGAACTTCATCCACCATTCGCCTGGACTCTCATGGATCTGCCATAAGAGTCAACTCATGGAATTGTGCCTGAAATTGATGGAAGAAGTCCTTCAAGATAATGTAGTAGAACATAAGATCGAGGGTGAAGCTGAAGATCAGCTGGAGGCGGCGGTTAGAGGAGAATATGACTCTCGATTGTATCCTTATGAGACCAGTGCGGTGAGTATGCGAATTAGAGGACGTTTTGTGAAGGCGACATTTTATACGAAGAATTTTTTTTTCGTATAAAATGTCGCTTATTTAAAATTTATAAAATTTTGAACCAAGTCGATAGGCTCTTTCTAAGAGCGGCAAAAATGTAATAGCATTTTTGTTACTTTTGGTGACATTTTATACGAAGAATTTTTTTCGTATAAAATGTCGCTTGTTTAAAATTTTTAAAGTGTGAACTAACGATTAGTCAATTGGCTTTTTCTAAGATTAGCAAAAATGTAATTTCATTTTTTTTTATTTTTGGTGACATTTTATACGAAGAAAAAACTTTTCGTATAAAATGTCACTTTCTCCAAATTTCTTAATTTTAATGTTGTCATTATAGAGAAAACCACCTCTCCCTTCAACGTATCGCAACAGTTCCTACTCTCCGCCTCAGAATTACAGCCCCGCCAATTCCCCGTTATATCCGACTAGTCCAATGTCAATGTCATCGTTAAGCCCCCTCTCATCGCCTCCATCGTCCAGCAGGGATCATAGCCCAAGCCCGGCCAGCTACTTTGGGTATGCTAGTAACGACGAAAGCCCATCGACGAAGGAACCGGAGGACAAAAGAATTACGGTAATTTTTGGGATTTTCAGATTTTTTTGGGAAACTCTTTTGTTTGAAGGGTATCCAATGCGATAGGTATCTAAAAAAGTTCTTGGTGAAGGGTGTTTCAGTAGTTATTTCGTTTTATTTCCGCGGTGGAGCCGCTTTTCTTTATCAGGGAAAGACTTGACCCATGTGTCAAGTCTTTCTCTCGTTGATTTTTACGCTTTTTTGATAAATAAAACTGTAGTCTCTTTTTAATAGAGATGTCTTGAATACCTATTTTGATTTTATCGCATAGAACCGACCCATTTTCAATGGAGGGAAAGACTTGACCATTTTTGAGTCAACTGTTTCTCTCACTACAATTTGGTCGATTTCAGATAATCAACGACTGCATGTGGCTGTACCGCTTCATTTCCCACGACGACACTCAACTGGACTGCCTAATTCAGCCGAATGTCCTCAGGGGATTCATCCGATACCTCGGGAAATCGCCCTCGATCAACGACAAGCTGGCCCACACGCTGAAATGCGTCGCCCGAGTCCGGCTTCACATTGCAAACTTGTTGGAAATCCGTTTCCCATACTTGCTGGTCTTCGAACTGATCCGCCGACCCTGCTTGTCCACTCGATTCGCGAGAATTTGCAGCGAATGCGCGGAGAAATCGCGCTATGGGTTCGAGATTCTGAACGACTTTGTGAACGAAGTGGACTCCAGCTTCGGAATGGGCGTCCTGAACATGCAAATCAGTTCGATGGAACAAAAAACACACCTCTACGGACTGCTGAATGGATTGCTTTTGCTGAAAAGCAGCGAAAGGAGGAGCAGATTCAGTGAAAGAGTCAAACCCTTGGAGGGGATTTTTGAGTACCTAAAACAATGTCTGGAAAATGAAACGGAGGTAAGATACCGAGTGAAAAATGATTTGGGGGTCAGGAAATTTCCTAAAAGCCATGAAAATGCGGTAGAAAATTTTTGTGATTTGAATTCCCGCCAAATTTGGCATTGTGTTTTAGAGGTGCGACAGGACGAAAAAAGGACTTGAGAAAGCTTGTGGGCGACTCATTCAGAGTCGATATTACCCTGTAGTTCTATTTTGGAAAGTTTGGAAAATTAAAATTTGAATTCCCGCCGAGTTTGGCATTGTGTTTTGGAGGCTGCAATGGATGAAAAAAGACCCGTAAATACTTTGTGGGCAAGTTTTTGCCGGTAGATATTACCCTGTAGTTCTATTTTGGAAAGTTTGGGAAATTAAAATTTGAATTCCCGCCAAATTTGGCATTGTGTTTTGAAGGTTGAAAGAGATGAAAAAATTTTTGGAAATACTTTGTGGGCGACTCATTGAGAGTCTGTATTACTCTATGGTTCCATTTTGCAAAGTTTGGAAAATTAAAATTTGAATTTCCGCCAAGATTGGCATTGTGTTTTAGAGGTTTCAAGAGAAGAAAAAAGACTTGGAAAGACTTTCTGCGCACTTGCTGGACTCCTTATGACTTTTGGGGTCTTTTGAAAATTAAAATTTGAATTCCCGCCAAATTTGGCATTGTGTTTTGAAGGTTGAAAGAGATGAAAAAAAGACTTGAAAACGCTTGTGGGCGACCCACTGAGAGTCTATATGACTCCGTGGTTCTATTTTGGAAAGTTTGGAAAATTAAAATTTGAATCCCCGCCAAATTTGGCATTGTGTTTTTGAAGGTTGAAAGAGATGAAAAAAAGACTTGAAAACGCTTGTGGGCGACCCACTGAGAGTCTATATGACTCCGTGGTTCTATTTTGGAAAGTTTGGAAAATTAAAATTTGAATTCCCGCCAAATTTGGCATTGTGTTTTGAAGGTTGAAAGAGATGAAAAAAAGACTTGAAAACGCTTGTGGGCGACCCACTGAGAGTCTATATGACTCCGTGGTTCTATTTTGGAAAGTTTGGAAAATTAAAATTTGAATTCCCGCCAAATTTGGCATTGTGTTTTGAAGGTTGAAAGAGATGAAAAAAAGACTTGAAAACGCTTGTGGGCGACCCACTGAGAGTCTATATGACTCCGTGGTTCTATTTTGGAAAGTTTGGAAAATTAAAATTTGAATCCCCGCCAAATTTGGCATTGTGTTTTGAAGGTTGAAAGAGATGAAAAAAAGACTTGAAAACGCTTGTGGGCGACCCACTGAGAGTCTATATGACTCCGTGGTTCTATTTTGGAAAGTTTGGAAAATTAAAATTTGAATCCCCGCCAAATTTGGCATTGTGTTTTGAAGGTTGAAAGAGATGAAAAAAAGACTTGAAAACGCTTGTGGGCGACCCACTGAGAGTCTATATGACTCCGTGGTTCTATTTTGGAAAGTTTGGAAAATTAAAATTTGAATTCCCGCCAAATTTGGCATTGTGTTTTGAAGGTTGAAAGAGATGAAAAAAAGACTTGAAAACGCTTGTGGGCGACCCACTGAGAGTCTATATGACTCCGTGGTTCTATTTTGGAAAGTTTGGAAAATTAAAATTTGAATTCCCGCCAAATTTGGCATTGTGTTTTGAAGGTTGAAAGAGATGAAAAAAAGACTTGAAAACGCTTGTGGGCGACCCACTGAGAGTCTATATGACTCCGTGGTTCTATTTTGGAAAGTTTGGAAAATTAAAATTTGAATCCCCGCCAAATTTGGCATTGTGTTTTGAAGGTTGAAAGAGATGAAAAAAAGACTTGAAAACGCTTGTGGGCGACCCACTGAGAGTCTATATGACTCCGTGGTTCTATTTTGGAAAGTTTGGAAAATTAAAATTTGAATCCCCGCCAAATTTGGCATTGTGTTTTTGAGACCACTGAATGCCAAAATATGCCGCTTCGAAGGGCTAACACCATCAAAAATGTGTTTTAAAAATCTTATGACACTCTTTCAATACCTTTTTTATTTATTTACTCTATCGACTTTCCATTATATAAAGCGGGAGATAAAAGATTTTCTGAAAAATTTTTGAAATTTTTCTGTTTTTACTTTTTTTTTGAAAAAAAAGTAAATTTTCAGTTTACTTTCCGGAAAATGCAAAAGAAAGTCAATTTTGTTTCTGGCTTTCCGACTTCAAGGTCGGGAGTAGGATCGGATCTTACTCCCCGCTCGGAGTCGCGGAAAGTCAGAGCTTGTTTTTACTTTCATCCTCTTTTTGGCCCCGCACTGCAGGTTGCAAGGTTGACGCCAAGTCTTTCACTGATGTGTCAAGTTTTTCTCTTCCGAAAAAATTATTTTTATGTTTGTGCGATGTTCTGAAGCTATGTTCTCCACGAAGATGGGCTAAAAAGTGATCAAGTAAGTTAGCATTAGCAAGAGGGGATGTACGTTTTTCATTTGACACCAAAATTTTCCCTTTTATTTCAGATAAAGGTACAAAATTTTTCCAATTTGTAAAGCTTCATGACCATGGATAATGTAAGTGAGATTATCTCGTTTTTGCTACGTCGTCAAGATTCTAAGTCGGGAAACGTTTAGAGGAGACCCCACTCTCATGTATATTCCCCATGTATGAAACCCCATAAATTTTGAGGAATAACGACGTAAAAGTTTCAAATACTATACTAACTTTCCAAAAAGTATGTTATACGAAGGTAAAACCTATGCAAACTATCTTCAAGTTATTGTAACAACGTTATTTGAGCCTTACTACGTTATTAACTCAGTTTAGAACGCCTTCGTGGCAAAAATCCGGCGGATCTGAGCGCATTTCGATATTGCACATGACACCTAGAAATCAAAATTGGTGGCGTTTGATAGATAGAGTATATAACAAAACTGAAGTGAGGTGTCCTCTAGAACTCGCCAGCCTAGAACTGTTAACTCCAATAACGGAACAAAAACGCGATAAGCGCACTTACATTATCCATGGTCATGAAGCTTTACGAATTGGAAAAAATTTGTACCTTTCTCTGAAATAAAAGGAAAATTTTTGGTGTCAAATGAAAAAAGTACATCTCCTCTTGCTAATGCTAACTTACTTGATCACTTTTCCGCCCATCTTCGTGGAGAAAATAGATTCACAACTTCAAAAAAATCAAAACGTTTCTTCCGGGAGAGAGAAATTTGACACATCTGGAATTCCCGGGCGCAGCTCGCAAAAATAGTTTTGAAGAAAATAAATTGGCTTGCGGGTGAGTAAAAACGGCATCCTACTCACCAGCCAAAATGGGCGAGCCATTTTTGTTTCAACTTTCCGGATCGACCTTTTAGCGAGCCATTTTTGATCCAACTTTCCAAAAATTTGTCGTTCGGAGTAAGAATGTTTTTTGACTTTCCGAAATCGAAAATTTCCGGAAATTTTTCAAAATTTACTTTTTTTTTAAAAAAAAAGTAAAAACAGAAAAATTTCAAAAATTTTTCAGAAAATCTTTTATCTCCCGCTTTATATTATCCATGAAGAACTAATATTCAATTAGCAAAAAAATTTGTATTTTTAGAAAGATATCGAAGAAAACGAGTTGATAAAGGACGTATTGGCTGTTCTTGGTCTTCTGGTGTCCAGGCGGTACCTCAGCAAGGTCATTGGAAAAGTGGAGGGAACTCATGAACATGAAGGAGAATGTCAGCTACTGGAAGCTGAAGAAGGTGAACCTCAAGTTATTTTTGAAAGCTCCAGCGGTGAAGTTCTCAAAAAAGTCAAGAAAGAGTATTTGAAGACCACGAGGGGGTATTTTCAGGTGAGTTTTGGGGAATTTGTGCCTAAAATAAGGTAATTTTGTAAAGTTTTGATGATTTTTGGAAGTTTTTGGTAGTTATCGGTTAAAATTAGTGAATTTTAGGCTCTAATTCATCTATTTCAGGGGCTGGTCGACCATAGTTTCGTTGAAAATGCCTCGGAAACGATCAATTTCAAGGTGGATTTGGATGAAGAAGAATATGATCAGAAAGAATTTATCACGTTTATCCATTATCTCTCTGGATGTAGAGACTCCGATTGCGTCAAAGTGGACGATGTTAAGACCTGTGTCAGCCTTTTACATGTGAGTTTCGGGCAAGGGGAAGAGTTGACCCATTTTTGGGGGTTTTGGGTCAAGTGTTTCTCTTGAAGAGAAATGTGGGATTTGAGGCTGGGCAAAGGTGGGATGGATGTTTTGAGGTTTGAAAAGATTAATGGGGACTTTTTTGAAGAGAAAAAATTGGGAGATTTAGATTTTTGATGTTATTTTTATGTTATCCATGAGAAATTTGATGATTTTCGATTGAAATTCTTGTACATAGGATTTCTGAGGTGTATTGTGAGTTTGAGGAGGCATTTTAGACCGTATTTTATGAATTTGGCATACTTGTTTAAAATTTTGAGCGGTTTTTTATATTATCCATGATGGATAATATAAAATTTCCATACAATTTAAGCTTTTTAGATGTCAAGGAAATTTCAAATGTTCTTTAGAGCTCAACACAGATTACGAGAGGGATTTCTGAGCTATTTTTTATAAATTTTGAGCATTTTTTTTCATGTGTAGTATAATTTTTTTCTTAAATTTTTTCCCGATTTCTCCCAAAATTTTGTCTAAAAACTCTCGTTACAGATGGCGGACAAATATTTATGCACCGAGCTCTCCGAACAGATCCTCAGGACGGACGGAATCGCCCGAAAATTGATCGATGGCACCAGTTTTCTCGATTTTTTGCCCGTAATCCTGTCTTCTTGGTTGTATCGCGATCGATTTGGGGACATTTTGTCGTTGGTTTTTTTGAAATTTTCGACAACTTCCCAGCAAATCGAAGCTCTCAAAGCGTTGGCCGCGAATTCTGTCTCCATCCAACTGTTCCTCGACTTGTTAAAAAGCTTCGTTTCGAACGTCCAGCATACAAATCGCCCCGCGATCGCATGGGATTTTTAATTTTGAGCCAATTACGGATATATTTTAGTTTTGATTGTAGCGATTGTAATATATAAAGCGGGAGATAAAAGATTTTCTGAAAAATTTTTGAAATTTTTCTGTTTTTACTTTTTTTTAAAAAGAAAAGTAAATTTTGAAAATTTTCCGGAAATTTTCGATTTCGGAAAGTCAAAAAACATTCTTACTCCGAACGACAAATTTTTGGAAAGTTGGATCGAAAATGGCTCGCCAAAAGGTCGATCCGGAAAGTTGAAACAAAAATGGCTCGCCTATTTTGGCTGGTGAGTAGGATGCCGTTTTTACTCACCCGCAAGCCAATTTATTTTCTTCAAAACTATTTTTGCGAGCTGCGCCCGGGAATTCCAGATGTGTCAAATTTCTCTCTCCCGGAAGAAACGTTTTGATTTTTTTGAAGTTGTGAATCTATTTTCTCCACGAAGATGGGCGGAAAAGTGATCAAGTAAGTTAGCATTAGCAAGAGGAGATGTACTTTTTTCATTTGACACCAAAAATTTTCCTTTTATTTCAGAGAAAGGTACAAATTTTTTCCAATTCGTAAAGCTTCATGACCATGGATAATGTAAGTGCGCTTATCGCGTTTTTTGTTCCGTTATTGGAGTTAACAGTTCTAGGCTGGCGAGTTCTAGAGGACACCCTGTTTTTGTTATCCTGTATTTGTTATATACTCTATCTATCAAACGCCACCAATTTTGATTTCTAGGTGTCATGTACAATATCGAAATCCGCTCAGATCCGCCAGATTTTTGCCACGAAGGCGTTCTAAACTGAGTTAATAACGTAGTAAGGCTCAAATAACGTTGTAACAATAACTTGAAGATAGTTTGCATAGGTTTTACTTTCGTATAACATACTTTTTGGAAAGTTAGTATAGTATTTGAAACTTTTACGTCGTTATTCCTCAAAATTTATGGGGTTTTATACATGGGGAATATACATGAGAGTGGGGTCACCTCTAAACGTTTCCCGACTTAGAATCTTGACGTCGTAGCAAAAAACGAGATAATCTCACTTACATTATCCATGGTCATGAAGCTTTACAAATTGGAAAAATTTTGTACCTTTATCTGAAATAAAAGGGAAAATTTTGGTGTCAAATGAAAAACGTACATCTCCTCTTGCTAATGCTAACTTACTTGATCACTTTTTAGCCCATCTTCGTGGAGAACATAGCTTCAGAACATCGCACAAACATAAAAATAATTTTTTCGGAAGAGAAAAACGTGACACATCAGGGAAAGACTTGGCGTCAACCTTGCAACCTGCAGTGCGGGGCCAAAAAGAGGATGAAAGTAAAAACAAGCTCTGACTTTCCGCGACTCCGAGCGGGGAGTAAGATCCGATCCTACTCCCGACCTTGAAGTCGGAAAGCCAGAAACAAAATTGACTTTCTTTTGCATTTTCCGGAAAGTAAACTGAAAATTTACTTTTTTTTCAAAAAAAAAGTAAAAACACAAAAATTTCAAAAATTTTTCAGAAAATCTTTTATCACCCGCTTTATATTTTGCGTTTTTTTGAATAAATTTTGAAAATTTTTTGAATTTTTTTTTGATTTTCAAAATGAAAAATTGAGATTTTGTTTGCAGTGGTTACTACAATATTCTTAGGAAAAATCAAATTTTTCCCAGCGGTATTCGGGGAGATATAGGCGAAAAACGGTTTTTCTCTGACCGTCTCCTGATTTTCCGCACTCTCTCGAAAGATTGTTGAATATCTCGGTAATCCTTGCAAATTGGGATCCAAAATTTTTTGTAGTCAATTTGCAGGTTATTACGGCTTTATTTTAGCCTTGATTGTAGCAATTGTAATATATTTTGCGTTTTTTTGAATAAATTTTGAAATTTTTTTTGAATTTTTTTTTTTTTTTTCAAAATGAAAAATTAGTATTTTGTTTGTAATGGGTAGCACAATATTTTGATGAAAAATCAATTTTTTCCCAGCGGTATTCGGGGAGATATAGGCGAAAAACGGGTTTTCTCTGACCGTCTCCTCATTTTCCGCACTCTCTTGGAGGATTATTCAATATCTCGGTAATTCTTGCAAATTGCGTTTTAAAATTTTTCGTAGTTAATTTGCAGGTTATTACGGATATATTTTAATTTTGATTGTAGCGAGTGTAATATATTTTGCGTTTTTTTTGAATAAATTTTGAAATTTTTTTGTGAATTTTTTTTTTCGATTTTCAAAATGAAAAATTTGACATTTTGTTTGTAGTGGGTAGTACAATATTCCTACGAAAAATCATTTTTTTCCGACCGATATTCGAGGAGATATAGGCAAAAAACGGAGTTTCTCTGACCGTCTCCTCATTTTCCATACTCTCTCGAAAGACTGTTGAATATCTCGGTAATCCTTATAAATTACGATCTGAAATTTTTCGTAATTAAATTACAGCTTATTTAAAGTACCTATGCAAAATTTCAGACCAATCTGTCTGTTTCCCATTGACTAGTGACTATTATTATATTATCCATGACAGCTTGATCGAAAAATTTTTGAAAATCTCAAATTTTTCGGCCGAAATCTTTGGTCAACGGGTTCAAAAAGTTTTACAAAGACATGTACCTTCAACTCACAACATGTTTATCGCAATTCCGGAGAGAAACAATCAAGTTTTTTTGGGTTGAAACATACGGTGGAACAGTCCAATTTTCGAAATTTGTTTTCCGAGAAAGAACAAAGAACGAATCGGTTTGGTCAACGGGGCTGATAACAATCGAGGGGAACCCACAAAAATTACACTTTAATTCAACGAAAACTTTTTTGTCGCGACGTGTTCTCAAAAACATTTGTGGTTTAAAAACCCGTCTGGCTGGTCATTTTACAGTAAGTTTTCGGTTTAATAAATGGAATAGGTAAATAAAAACAATCATGGAACAGGTTTTAGGCTTTTAAAAACAATTTTTTTTATTTTTTTTTTTTGCACTGTGCAAAATTTAAAATTGTCCGAAAGTTGCACAGTGCGGAAAATAAAAAGTATTTTTTTGCACAATCTGCCTCTAAATAACCTAAGTTTTCACTGGATAAAAATTTTCGCCCCTTGGCCAAGCTTCTCCTCCAAAAATTACTAGTTTTTTCTTCCGCACTGTGCAAAATTTAAAATTGTCCAAAAATTGCAGAGTGCAGAAAATAAAAAAAAAAAAATTTTGCGTGGTATTGCTTCTAAACAACCCAAATGTTCACCGGATAAAAATTTTCGCCCCTTGGCCAAGCTTTTCCCCCAAAAATTGCTAGTTTTTTTCATCGCACCGTGCAAAATTAAAAATTGTCCAAAAATTGCACAGTGCAGCAAAAATTGTAAAAAAATGTGACATTTTTCGTCTGCATAGTTCCTACAGATCCTAATTGAATTAAATTTCGTACTCTTGAAACTTATTTTTATTACACAAAATGCCCAATTTTGTCATCGCACAGTGCAAACCTCAAAATCTTCATTTCTTTGCACTGTGCAGTGATTTTTTTGGATTTTTTGGTTCTGTTGTACTTCTCAGAGGTATAGATTTTATTTACAGTCCCTATTGAACTGCGGTCTTACTGTAATTTATCAAAAATTGCCTTTTTATTCATTGCACTGTGCAAAATTTTGGGGTTTGGATTTATCTGCACTGTGCAGTAAATTCTCTCGGATCTTGATCTTTTCAAAGTTTAAACTGTTCAAGGAGCCTCTACAAAACTTTATTTTATAATTTTACTTCTTGCTTCACTTTAAAATTCACATCATTTTCCGTTGCACGGTGCAAAAATCATTTTTATTTTTTTGCACTGTGCAAAGGAAAATAAATATAAAATGTTTTTTTCGCACTGTGCGATCGATAATAAAGTTTGTAAACACATTTTTTTTTGCTTGTGAGACCCAAAAATAACAATTTTAAAAGCAATTCAGTACTGTATTCTCTTATCGCTTCGTTTTCCTTGAGTCCCTCGGATTATTTTCTTTTTTTCCATCCTTCCGGCTTCATTTTTAATTGAAATCATGGAATTTTAAATTTACAAGAGAGCAGATGTGACCTAGCCCTAGAATTTTTCAAAAAAAATTCAAAAAATCGAATTGCACTGTGCAAAAAAAATTTTTTTTTGATTTGCACAGTGCAGAATTTTGAAAAAAATTTTTTTTGCAGAATTTTTTGCAAACTCCAAAAAAGGGTAGAAGCCTCATTCTTGACCTTTCCTGATCTATTTTTACCCTCCTACTCTCCTTTTTTCTCCCATTTTTTAATGTATTCCCTAGTATAATATAAAATAATACATTCCGAGCGTCAAGAGCTCCTTTTTTCCTGTCAAATCTAATGTTTGCGTTTATACGAAACCCGAATCCTTTCGTTTTTTGGCCAATTGACCCCCGGAAAGGAGATTTCCAAGAAAATGCCCTCCGGCAATTTCGCAATTAAAGTTCGTTTTTTGGTTAATTAGGGCGCGATAGTACGAAAAGCGCTATAAAATCAATTTTTCCGTGCAAAAATTTTTCTTTACTGCGGCCCAAAATAATTTTTTTCGCACTGTGCAAATTTATTTTTTCTACTGCACAGTGCAGTTCAAATTTTTTTCCGCACTGTGCAATAGATTTTTTCAATGCACAGTGGGGTTTGCATTCATTATTTTCGCACTGTGCAAAAAAAATTTTTTATTTGCACAGTGCAGTTCCAAATTTTTTCTCCGCACTGTGCAATAAATTTTTTCAATGCACAGTGCACATTTATTTTTACTGCACAGTGCGGCCTAAAAATTATTTTTTTCGCACGGTGCAAAATTTTTTCGATGCACTGTGCAAAAAATTTCTTTGGTTTGCACAGTGCAGTTGAAAAGTGTTTCCTCCGCACTGTGCAAAAATTTTTTTTGTTTGCGCAGTGCAGTTCAAAATAATTTTTTTCGCACTGTGCAAAAACATTTCTGGTTGCACAGTGCGGCCCAAAAATGTTTTTTTTCGCACTGTGCACATTTATTTTTACTGCACTGTGCGGTTCAAAATCATTTTTTCGCACGGT